ACAGATCCATACGTTTTTTATCTTAATTTTGGTAAAAAGACATAATAATCCAGATATTCTGACCTTCTGTGTTCGTCCATCGTACCGTCGTCCGTCTTGCAGACGGTATCACGGTGGCGCCACCTAGCTGAATTTAATTTTGCAACATATTCGATTTTCTCACGGGAATGATATGTTTTTCCGCTGAAAAAATGTAGCCAATGTCACTCTACAGCCACCGAACTATCCCCATACCAAAAATCATGCCATGCCGACGCTCTGTTGCGACGTGAAAGAAGGACAAACTTGTGCAACATATTCAACTTTCCCACGGGAATGAGATGTTTTTCAGCGGAAAAAAGTAGCCTATGGCACTCTACAGCCACCGAACTATCTACATACTATTCATGCCATGTCGACGCTCTGTTGCGACGTGAAAGAAGGACAAACAAACGAACAAACACACTTTCGCATTTAAAGTATTAGTATGGATTATTTAAATAATATTAGGGCGTTATAAGTCTTCTATTAGGGTCTAACCAATAGAAGAATTCAAATTTTTTTTCTAACAATAGCTTATATTTGTAATATTAAATAAGTTACAGACTAAATACGTCCAACAACTGAGTATAAACCTCGTGTAATTTCCGAAAGGTTTTAAAGGAAAAGAAATATCAAAGTCCAAGGAAAATTAATGTCGCGCGCCATTTAGTGTCGGGTAACAGAGCGAGGAGAGCTTTCCAGAAAATGACATGACTAATCTTTAAACCGACAGCGCCATCTAGTATCGAATTGAAGAACTAACCTTTCTAGAAGCCCTACACTCGAACTTTCAGCGCCTGGTCGATTGGCGCGCGTATTTACTTGAATATTCTGGATGTTTCGGTGAAAAGGCGTATTTAAAGGCGCTGCAATACGCGATCGGGGAGTACTGAATTTGGCGAGACAAGCGAAGCTTCGAAGCGAAATAAAGTGAATAAGTGTGATTAATTATTAGTTTCTTTTAAGTTTTAATTAGTGTAAAGTGAATTAAAGTGTTATTGATAATTCAATCGGCAGTTTTTATTGTCACGAACCCTAAGCTCGTAACAATTGGTGTCGTATTCCTGCAGTAGTTCAATCCACCTCGCAACTTGTCCTTCTGGATTTTTAAACTACAATAGCCATTTTAGTGCAGCATGGTCAGTTCGTAAGTGAAATTTCCGCCCCAGAAGATATTTGCTAAAATGCTGCAACGACTTTACCACAGCGAGCAATTCGCGTCTTGTGATACAATAGTTCATTTCCGGTTTTGACAACGACTTGCTGAAGTACGCTATCATGACCTCTTGATCACCATTCCGTTGAGACAACACACCGCCAAATCCTATATCACTTGCGTCTGTGTCATCTATAAATTATTTGCTTGCATCAGAGTATCCCAAAATAGGTGTTTTGCACAGACGGTCCTTGAGCTCCTGGAATGCAACTATTGCAACTTTCATCCAGCAGAAATGTCGCTTCTCCTCGGTTAGCTTGTGCAGAGGTTTGGCTATATCTGCAAAGTTTTTCACAAATCAACGGTAATAGGAGCATAAACCCAAAAATGCTCTAACCTGCGTCTTGTCTTTTGGAACCGGCCAATCCTTGACTGCTGCGATTTTCTCCGGATCCGTGCGGATACCTTCTTCCGACACTACATACCCCAAAAGTTGACTTGCCATTTGAATGGTATATATTTAATATAAATAGATTCAACATTAAAAAGAAATTTTAGTCTCTCTGTACTGAAAAGAACACCACTTAGATTCAAGGAAAAAAACATTCCTATAAAACATAAATTAAAGTGAAAGATATGCGTCCTGAATTTTCGGTAAACAAGTTTATTACGGTTGTGCGCATTTGAGTGTAACTTTCCATACCTATACATCATTTTTTATTTCATTCCTCTTGTTTACTCAAATTTTCTTTACTCACTTTACCACACTATTTGAGGCGGAAAATATTTGAAGTATTTCATGAAAATAAGGTAAAGTAAAATAGATTATATTAGATTATATTTTTGGAGTGCATTTGCATGAAATTCTGAAATTTGAAAGAATCCGTAACGATGAAATCCGCAGCAGTATCGAAGTAACCGATGATTAATAATCTGAAGTGACAATGGGCTTGTCATATATCTCGCAGAACTGACAACCGATGGGGGAAAAAAGGTCCTCGAGTGGCAGCCTCGTACAGGTAGGCGAAGAGCAAAGAGTGAGGTGGCTTCTCACTAGATAGAGTGACAACCTGGTATGACATGCAGGAAGTGGATGAATGCAGGAGGCGGTGTAAAATAATCCACTACCCAATATCATGTGGTATCGTAAGAGGCTACAAAGAGAAACTGAAACAGATGGGTATCATTTTGGGACATCTTCCTTATGCTGCTATCCATCTGTTAAATAAAAATATAAATAAATAAATAACTGCTGTTGCCAACCCACTCACCAAGCGTGGCAACTATATTAAATATTTCCATTACGATGCAATCTTCATGCCTACATTCATTGTCAAATATTAACCTGGATAATAATCTAACAGTTTTGAATTTATTCTCCGGCTTATAAATATTAATTTATTGACAGTTCCATGGCACAGTAGATTCGAATCCCGAACGGAACAATGTAGCGAAAACGTTCCCGTGGCCCTGCCAATATGCGACGAAGGTAGAACACCATGGGGTTTTAGTCGGTGCGAGTCCGACATAACCGCGACGCGTTTCCCCGCGATAAAAAATTTGGTTAGGTTTGGTTAAGTTAGGTTGATGTATCAGGTTAGTTATGTACGTACTATATGAATTTTAGGATAATCAACACTTTTCTTTTAATAATTGAAATATCTTCCAGCTACGAAAGTCCATTGATTTTCGTAGCTGGGTCACCCGCGTTTGCGTACCGTTTTTTGTCAGAATAATTATTATCAGCCGCCATGATGCATCACAAAATCAGGACCTCTAACGTAAAATAGTTAAACTATCCACAATTTAACTATTTTATGATATGATCACTAATTTTTGACCATATCATGAAGTAGCCGTGCGTTTAACTGTTCATGTCTTCAAACGTAGATTATTAATTGATCTTACCAGACCATATTATGATGTGGTCAGCGGAAATTTTTCATTTCATGAAATACAACCATTTGATAAAATATTTGACTACTTTATGAAATTATTAATTTTACGATATGGCTGCGACATAATATGTATATATGATTTAATTTTATTACAAGCAAATACGTATTATATTATATATAGGTATACTTAGGTAGGTGAGAAATAGTAAATTCCGTAATTTGCAAATTTCTTTTAAATTTATGTATTGTATTTCATGCGAGGTTCGTTAAATGATGAACGTGTTTTTACAAAAGAGACCCATTTTTCTTTCGAAATAGCTACAGTTCACAAAATTTATATCGCGTGAAATTGTAATTTCGACCTTCGCAGTTAACGCACTAACAGATTTTCCCTTATATTTTTTCCACACTTATTCTTTACAAAACAATTGATGTAAGTAAGGCTGCGCATAAAGTCACGCGAAGTAACCGTTTCCTCTGTTTAAGGCTTTATAAGTTCCGTTCTTAATAGGGTGCGAATTTTAGGGACAGTGGTTGGTCAAATTTACTTAATGTTAATGACCAATATGATTAATGACCTTACCTTTACGGTGACAGCCTATTAAAGTTCACAGCTGAATATAGGCCTCCCCATAAATTGCCTCTTAGGGGGGATATTTGCTATAGTTATAATACCACGCTTGGCAAGCGGTTTGCCAACCGCAGTTTTTTTATTTTTAGTCGTTATTAGAAAGATGGTGCTGCCTACTCCTGATTTGTTTCCCTCTGCTGCCTCTTACGACACCCACGGGATAATACAACCATGGTTTATCATAATAACAGAAAACAATCACAAAGCGATTTTTGTATAACCATACACAAATGTAAAAACGAAAACGAGCACACAATTCACCTGATGTAAAGTTGACGCTGTGGCCCATAGACATCTTCATCTATCCTCGATTAGGAATCAGAATGCAGATGCGTTGCCACCCCTGAGGACTAAGGTGGAATGCCTCGTTTCCACTAAACAGGGTCTTCGTTTCTCTAAACTCAACATACGAAATACAGCAGCGTTGAGCTGCTATTTTACGCTTGTATTCCGTGAGAGCGTGGTCCTTCCCCGGTGAGCAGACCCATTCGTGCACAGACATACTATAGCTGCAACATGGCTCTACCATGTATAAAATATTCGTCTTTGATATACGAAAACTACCGCCACCTTAGCTATTGCCTACCGTCATATGCCATATTAATTGATATTGTAAAATTATGGTCATGAATCGTATTGCCACGATTTATGAATTTTACAATCCAGGTGTTGTTCCAATTATGGCCTTAATTATTGCCATATCACAGTAGTGTGGCTGCAGCATTAGAGTATGTTAATTAAAAAATGTGCCAACAGCACGTTTGGCGCGTCGGCTGACAAAACCGCGTTTTTGTGATAATCCACCAAAGAAATTTACCGGCGAGCCACCAAAAACTTAATAAAGCTCGCCCGTCGATCAGGGCTTTTAAGTAAGACTTTTAATAATTTTACCATATGACCAAGTCCTTGAAACTTGTATTAAAATTTATTGTTCATTATATTTCCACCTCCAAGTTTTATTTAAATTTTTGGACAGTGGGGTACGTAACGTGCACCTTGGGGGTTTGTGCAGCTCACTAGAAATGATAATAGGAAAACAATTTTCTTAAATATTAAAACCACATTTATTATAAATAAACACAATAAAAAAGGAATTCTATGCAAACATCTTCGCAATTTACTAAAACATAAATTTACCATCCGCCCGTTAGCATTACGATCAGGCGTGTTAATTAAATGCATTCTTTGAAAAGTCTTAAAACATTCTAGATTAATTAAATTTAAGTCTTTTGTATATAATCAAAATCGATTACTAAACACGTAAATCAATCCAAAAATGAAGTTGTTCATATCGTCAATTATTCGCAGGTTCTATTTCGCGTACCGATTCGATGTCAGCCTTGCAGAAGAAACATTGCTTACTGTTCAGAAGATGCTGCATTATACACGGCCTGCAATTAGTGCATAGAAATACCATGTTATTTTTCTTTCTAAACATATAATCCACGTCGTCAATTGATTATTTTTTTTAACACAGGCCCACAAATTGAGAAGCGTTACATAAAGCGCACATGGACAAACATCAAGATTCCGTACAGTTATTTGTAGGACATATTTATGTTCCGTGCGGAATCCAAATCTGCAGCGACGCAATCAAACAATAAACTACTGAACTACAGAGACGTCAGATGCAAAGAGAATGTGCATTAGACGGATTGTGATCTATCTATGAGATTGATGGTTCTGAGAGTGTAACAAAATGTGTATATAACATTAGATTTCTATATTAAACAATGATTACGGTATCTGACAAGTGGTGACAAAAATCCTCCCCAGTAAGAAAATCTATTGCGGAGGCTTAAGTTCAGCAGTAGACCTTTATAGGCTTAATAGAATGGAATGGAATATTATTAGATAAATTAAAACTATACAAAAATTGGGATTATAATCCGAATCGGTTAATACACCGTCAACTTCCTGCCTCCGGGCAGCTACTGAGAATTTCTTGACGGAAAATCTCAATAATTGATTTTTTTGGCCCGATCCGGGATTTCGAACCCAGGACCTCATGGTCAGCAGTCGCACCACTACAATTACTAGAACTACCGTACCGATTATACCACGCACCGTAACAATTTAAGAGGGATTATGGCTATGCCTGTATTATTTTTTTATAAAACTAAACTGAAAATTGAACTAATGTGGAACTATGTGGGCATACAGGATGTTAGTTGTCCTTGAGACCAGTGGTTTGGTTTCACTTATAGAACGTAAATTCAATTAATTTAAAAAAAAACCGCTATTTTCTTTCACAAAATTTAAAAAGTGTCTGTCCGACACCGTCCGTAAATTCATGGATACCCTATGCGCCCGAGTGACGTAATCACTGTAAAGATCACCGCCCGCGCTAGCTACCTACACTACATTCCAATAAAACACAATAGGTACACATAACCTGTGATGTATCTTTTCCTTCATACTTTCATCCTGACTTAGGACAAGCAAAAATTGAGGAATTAACGAAAAATTGAGATTTTACTAAAAAAATGTTATTTTTCATTGAATTTACGTTTATAAGTAAAACCAAACCACTGGTTTCAAGGATAACGGTGTTTACACTAACACCTTGTATAGATGAGTGGATACTGCAGTGAACTTAGAAAGTGTTTTATCAAACTTAGATTTCTTATGAATTTTAACTAATTCGGACCGGTAGATTTTGAGAAAACTCAAAAATAAAAAAATTTCAAAAACTAATCAGCATTTAACCTTGAAAAACTACGCCGATCGCCGCCGGTCCGTTCAAAATCGGTTTATTCGTTCGTGAGATATCGTTAAAGAAAAATTTTAAAAATTAGTTTTTTTTTTTAAATTACTACGATACTTCATATTCAACGTCATAATTTGGTGAAGTTTGGAGCACTTTGCATTTGAAATTAGCGAGAAGTTCCAGGGATGGCCTGCAGCGTTAACCAATTTTTTTATAGGAGAAGGGTGACAAACGAGCATACAGTCCACCCGATGGTAAGGGGTTTTTTTTTTTTTTTTCCTCCGTCCCCGTCCTGCTTCTCTACTGTTCGGTGCAAGAAAGTTATGAAGGTGACTTCACGGGACTGACTCGTAAGCAGAAAAGGGGTGCTTTTAATGTTTTCCTTTTATTTTTTCATTCGTTAAATTTGTTTTCAGGATGCCTGTTATTGGACCGTGGGAGTGATAGATCAAAAGTATTAGCTCTATTGTTCATTTTTCAGGAAAAAACAGATAAATACGTTTGTTTGGACCAAACGCCGTTCGGATATCCTGTTAATACAAATACTGCCACAAAGAAAATCGAAATTTCAGTGTAGCCTTCTATAAAAACGAATTATTTTCAAATAAACTTAATAGAGCATTTATCTAAAAATATCCTGTGAGTTATGTTTTCAAATAAGCAAATCTTACTAAAAATATTTTTGATAAATTTTAATAGATTTTTAAGTGCCTTAAAACTATGTCATAAATTATTAAAAAATATCAATCAAAAGACTACATCGATAACACATGTTGGTATTAAAGATAATTTATTTTAATTTGTTACATATTTGTGTAGGGGCGACGTAAAACAATCTACTATCCTATATCATCGTGTGTGCGTGCGTGGGCCGCGTGCGTCGTCGTGCGTGCGTGCGTGCGTGCGTGCGTGCGTGCGTGCGTGCGTGCGTTCGTTCGTTCGTTTGTGCGTGCGTGTGTGCGCGTGTGTGTGCGTGTGTGCGTGCGTGCGTGCGTGCGTGTGTGTGTGTGTTTGTTCGTGCGTTCGTGCGTGCGTGTGTGCGTGTGTGTGTGTGTGTGTGTGTGTGTGTGTGTCATAAGAGACAACAGAGATAAACTGAAACAGTAGATGAGCAGCAGCATCTTTCTGATAATAATTTAAAATAATAAAAAAACTACAGTTGCCAGTCCACCTACCAACCATGGCAACTATAGCAAATATCAAGTGACTACAGTCAGTGTAGCAGTCTATAGCCACGTTAAGTAAACTTCAACAAAGAAGGCTGACTAGATTAAAAATAGATTTCGATGTCATTGTACTAAGTGAACGCTGGTTGCTTAATAAGGACAACTTACCCAAAATTAATGGTTATAATTTATGCTCCACTAATTTTAATAACAACCAAAATGACGTATTAGTAATATATGTAAAAGAAAAACATTTGTTCACGACTGAGGAGCCTCACTTTCAAGAAGGGAATTGTATCATAACAACATTGAATGATATTGTTATAATCTCAATATTTAGGTCACCGTCATATAAAAACTTAGAAAACTTTTTTCCTTTATTGGATAGTGTACTACAGAAATATTCGAAACATAAAAACATAATTATAATAGGAGATATAAATATTAACATTAACAGTAAAACAGATATTAATTCGGATAAGTATTTACAACTGACAGCATTCCACGGGTGTAATTACCCACTCATACTCTAGTAACACGTGACGCAAGTAGTTCGTGTATTGATCATGTTCTGCTAAAAACGAATAATCCTTCACTTACTATAGTTCCTCAAACTTTAATCACTGATCACAAACCTGTAATTTTATGTATGAAAAATAAGCAACGTCAACAGTTTTATACAACTACTATCAGAAAAAATAGATCACGATAAACTTAATTCGGATATGCAAAACATTGACTTTTTACCTATTTATAATATTAAAGATCCAAATACTTCTCTTGAATACTTAGTTAATAAAATAAAAACAGTAATTGACGTTAACACTAAATTAGTAAAGTTGCCAACACAAAAAAGATCATCAAACCTTGGATTACGACTGGCCTTCTTAGATGTATTCGTCACCGTGATAAACTACATAAGAGGGCTAGACTTCCAGATAGTGAAAGTGATCAAATTATATACCGACGATATCGTAATCACTGTAACGCATTGTTAAAAAAGGTAAAGAGAAATTATGAAAAAGAGCGAGTGAATATGGCTAAAAATAATAATAAGAAGCTATGGGAAGTATTTACTGATATTATAGGTAACATGAAAAACAAAGGGTATAACAGAGAACTGTTAAATATATCCAGCACGCCGCAAATGTCTGTTAACCTTATTGATGATTATTTTGTAAATGTAGGTAAAAGTTTGACAGAGAGTTTTAAGGTAGAAAATAATAATAGTGAAAGTTTTAATATTAACATTGGTGAAGAATCAAACTATTTCTTAAATTCATTTGCTTTATTGGACACAGATGAAAGTGAAGTAGAACAATTAATTGGCAATTTGAAAACCGACTGCTCAGTTGGTTGGGATGGAATCTCGAACAAATTTTTTAAAAATTTTAAATATTTGTTAATACTTACTTTAACTTGTATATTTAATCAATGTTTAAATGACGGTGTATTCCCTAGATATCTTAAGAAGTCCATAATTCGAACTATTTTTAAAGATGGTGAAAAAACCTGTGTAAGTAATTATAGACCTATCTCTATATTACCCGCTTTATCCAAAATTTTAGAGAAAATTATAAATAATAGACTTACAAAATATTTGGAGAAAAATAATTTATTGTCAAATACACAGTTTGGTTTTAGACATGGCAAATCAACAGAGCATGCCGTTCATACTCTTACAAATTTTTTGTCATCGTATTTAGACAGTGGAAAAAAGTGTATTTCAGTCTTCTTAGATTTGGCGAAAGCATTCGACACAGTATCAATAAAAATGCCCCACAGCTTATAAAAATAGCACCCCTCTATAATACCAGTAATGTCGGAACACACCAGTGTTTTTTTTTTTTTTTTCTTTTTTTTTCTTTTTTTTTTTTTTTTTTTTTTCTTTCTTAGTGATAAATTTTTTTTTTTTTTTTTTATTAATTAAAATTAAATTTTTATTTAATAAAAAAATTTTTTTTTTTTTTTTTTTTGAAAAAAAAATATTATCTTTAATTTATATTTTTTTTAGGGGGGTTTGTTTGTTTATACCCTTTTTTTTTTCACACTGACGCAAAGCTTCAATGCCCCCCATATATCAAAACTAGCTAGCAGACTTAGTTCTGCAGCATATGCTGTGAAAAAGATTAGAACTCTTAACAGTGTTGAAACAGCTAGAATAGTTTACTTTAGTTATTTCCATAGCATTATGTCGTATGATATTTTGCTATGGGGACACGCGACTGACACTGAAATTATATTTATTTTACAGAAGAGGGCCATTAGAGCAATATATAATTTAAAACCAAAAGAGTCACTGAGACAAAAATTTAAGTAAATTAGTATATTAACTCTGGCCTCAATCTAATAAATAAATAAATAAATCTCAATACATTTATGAAAATTTAATATACGTACACAAAAATAAAAGTAGTTTTGCGAAAATAAGTGATATTCATTCTGTAAATCTAGGACCCATAGTAGTACCAGTTACTCGACTCCACCGAGTCAGTAATTCGTTCTTGGGGCGATGTATACGCTTTTACAACAAAATCCCAGAAAATATACAAAATTTGTCATACACGAAGTTCAAAAATGTTATTAAACTAAGTTTGTATAAAAAGAGTTATTAGCATATTAAGGAATGTATGGATGATAATAACCCCTGGGAAGCGTGATCGCTAACAAGCTATTTCTAATTTGTCTTGTGTTGTTTATTGTAAACATTATTGTAAGCTATTATTGTAAAAAAAAATAGTCCCGCTGGGTTTCTTGCTGGTTCTTCCCAGGACAGAGGTTTTTTTTTTGCGAACCAGTGGTAAATGAAAAAAGTGACTTTCAATAAGTATTGTTATAATCTACATTGAATAAAAAAAGTTTCTGTTTCTGTTTCTGTTTCTGTTTCAAAAATCCTTCCTATCCTTCTTATCTTAGGGATCGCTTTAAATTTCTTCACTATTCCCATTCGAAAGTTTTTAGATCATCAGAAAATGGCTGTCAAATTTTTGGACAGGTCGTTACTATCCCAGCAGTCCGTCTATGTAATGCCCTACCTCAGTCAACGAGACGCGCCCAGTCTTCATCTGTTTTTCAGAAGCTTGTACACAATCACTATCTTAATCGTTGAGTTCGTGCCATCTATATATGTATACATTCGTATTTTTTGTATTTATTTGTTCTTTATTTCTATATATAAAATGGATATATTTATAAATATTGTTTCTGCATCACCAAACCACACAATTTACTGTTTTTTGCGATCCTGTCGATTCAAAGGTTGTCTTGAAGAAATAGCCTTTGGCGATAAGACCTATTGTGATACAATTTTTTTCTACTTCTTTTGTTTAAATATCGTTTTAGTGTACAATTAAAACTATCTATCTATATAATTGGCGACAGAAATAGTTTATTATCTTTATTTTAACAATGAAATAACAACAATTTCACCATATCTGTTAAACTCAACTAAAGTTAGGTGTTAAAAAATTGCAAATGCCTGTAAATTTTTAGTGACGAAAGTATATTCAGTAATTAGCTTACAACAATGCATTACTTAAAAGTGATACTTTATTTCTTATTATTCTTAATATTTTGAACCGACTTTGCAAAAGAAGGAGGTTATATATTTCACACGTATGTGTTTTTATGTATTTCTCACGAACTGCTAAACCGATTTAAATTGATCTTTTTATTAAATGAATTAAGCTCAGTCAGTATTTAAGAGACCTATTTCAATTTTATATTTTTATAAAATAAATCAATGACCAAAATAACAAACTACCGTCCAATCAGTTAACCTCCTGTTCTTTTTACGTTCACTGAAGTTTCTCTTATGACCTGTTAAAATGAATAACTTACCGACAAGAGTGATGTCCACAAGGCACAAACGCAGTGTCCGCAGGTCTTGCATAGCAGATAGTGCAGAGCAGCTCAGATTGCGTCCCGCTAGAGCCGGGTGAATTGACTTTTACCACGGCCTCGCGTGCCACCCGTAAACGATTCACAACAGCCTCGAAAGCCTTCAGTTCGTCTGATGTAACATCGTCAGGATCTGATAAAAACATTTGCCCACTATCACCACGCTGGACAGACGGTTGGTGAGCGCAGAATTGAAATCCTGGCTCTGTTGCTTCCCTTTAATTAGTATGTGGAATTTGAATTTAACGTTTTAAATGGAAGAAAAGCCTTTTTCTAATCCCTGAATAGAATGGACTTACGGCCTTATTCCACGGGTGTCAATCGATAACCCAATAATCAGTAAGCCAGATCAATGTAGTATATAGTAAAGTAAAGTTACAGCCTATATACGTCCCACTGCTGGGCACAGGCCTCCTCTCATTTCTGAGAGGGTTTAAGGCAAGGAATAGTCCGCCGCGCTGCCCCAATGCGTGTTGGCACATTCACAAGTCTTCGAAATATTTTTTTTTCTTATTTCTCAGACATGCAGGTTCTCACGATTTTTTCTTCACCGCTGAGTACGTGGTAAATCAGCACTTAAAATTGTAATTAACAATTTCATTGGTACCGGCGGGGATCAAACGCGGTTTGCTCGCGTATTGTGAAATTTACTACCACGCTACCACGGCTCATAGTCAATGTGGCCCGTCGGTAATGCCTTAGGAGATCCAACAGATTACTAAAAAGTTGCTAGGAATACTATTATTATTTGTTTTGGGTCCTATTATTGGTATTCCTAATAAATTGTATTTTCTCACTTACTTGTATTTTATTAAGTTGAATAATTATTATATTTAATACTTTCTATTGATGAAAAATAATTAATAGAAGCTGTCATGTAGTGACGGCGTAAGAGAATTCATTACCCCGCATCATCACTAAGGGTGGCGAGGGAGGGAAACGACACTGGATATGAACAACAGCATCTCCCTGAGGTTGCCAATCCATCTGCCAAGCGAGGCAACTATGGCAAATATCCAATATATGAGGAAGACGTTTGTTCAGTAGTGGACCAGCTTTTAATGTTAATTGATCGGTATGTAATGAAGAAATAACTAAAGGCCCAAAAATTATTCTATAATACTAAACTTTGGAACCTTTTACCTCCTATTCATATACTTCATTAAATGATATATTTCATCGGTCTTGTAAATAAGGATAAAAATATAGTAAAGTAACTGAGTATATACTCGTATTTCCTGAAGCTAGGAAAAGGTCTCTTTACAAAGCTAAAAGGATTTATACGTAGTAGAAACATACTGCAGTTATATTAGTAGTATAGTTGTAGCACGAATGAGTGACGGCTCGATCGGGGAAGGACTACGCTCTCACAGAATACCAGCGTAAAATAATAGCTTAATGCTCCTGTGTTTCGTATGGTGAGTGTAGAGACCTGAGACCCTTTTTACTGGAAATGAGGCTATCCAACTTAGTCCTCACGGGCGATAACGCATCTACATTTTGATACGTAATCGATGATAGACGTAGATGTCAATGGATCACAACAACCACTTTCCATCAGTTAGCAGCGATTAATTCGGTACTTGCATCGGTAATCACATGGCAAGTCAACTCAATAGATATGTGAACATCAATGAATTGATTTAAGATTCGGGAATGCGATAAAGGTGCCAAAAGAATATACTTACAGTCATAAAATGAGAATTGCTTGTCTTTAGATCTTCCCAACATGAACTCAAGACCGTCGATGCGAAATAAAGGCTCGTACACAACCGCTTTGGTCGCTTTTTTCAAATGCTAAAAAGAAACAATGAATCTAAATATCGTTCGAAACTTATACATTGTTTTAATAAATAAAAGTCTACGGCGCAAACTCTCTTCAATATTTAAAACTTACTTTTAAATCAATTTCAATTAAGCAAATATATTTCACCGTTACCTTTTACCGTTACAGCATATCAAAGTCCACTTTAAACATAAGCCCCCCCTCCCCATAGATTGCCTCATAGTTAGTCCCCAATATTTGCCACAGTTGCCACACTTGGCAAGCAAGTTTGCAAACGCAATTGATTTTTAAGTCGTTATAAGGAAGACGCTGCTGCCCATCTCCTGATTTGTTTCCCTTTGTCGCCTCTTACAACACCCACGGGATGTACGAGCAAATATTTATTAAAAAATAAATGCAAATATTTGACATTGCCCAGTATCTGTTGGCGAAGTTTCATTATAATTGAATAGCAAAAGATTAGATATACATACAGACAGACAGAATTAAACAAAATGATTATTCATGTCTTCATCGTCATCATCATCATACCCCTTCACAACTCTTTTGCTGAACAATGGACTAAAAGTAACGCCGCAAAGCACGGTCCAGAGCCACCTATATCATCGACTTTGTGCATGTTTTATCAGCCCCATCGCCCCATCTAGTGGTGGTTACATTGCACTCTGCATATACGAGATTGGCACTAGAGCCTTTCTTGTCCATCAGTTGCCAGTTCGTCGTACTACATGGCCGACTTATTGCCACTTCAGCTTACTGATCCATTGGGCTATATAAGTTATGTCGGATCTGCTGCGGATTTCATCATTACAGATTATTTCACGCAAAGAAACTCCAAAAATATAATAATCAATACCTATATCATATATCGTCGAGTAATGGCGGTATAAGAGAATCATACCGTCCGTCTCCTACGAGGCAGCATATGGAAAAAGAAACAAATACATCTGCAAAGTTGATTTAGCAGCATCTACTGCCCATCTGTTCCTGATAATAATTCACAATAGCGGCGGATCAGCTTGCTAAGCTGTGGATTTTGACAGGCTACAATGATGAGGCTATAATGGCAGGCACGTTCGATGAAAACTACATAAAATAATTTTAAATAAAAATATAAATATCACCAATGCTACACACATCAGCAGGGAGTCCAGGGTCCAGCATTCTGACGAGACAACCGGCTACCGGCGCCAAGGCGACGTAGTAGTGGATGCGGTCCGTATCAGGTAAGCCCCCTGGCTACCAGCCGTGCGAACCCAGCTCCGCCGCCCACTCGAACGCAGACACGCGATATCACAGCCATGAGAATCTAATCGAAATCTTTTTTAAGGTACTGAACGCATAGTCTTATATAAGCAAAATTAAACAAACTTTTTGAATCAAATAATATTTTTTAAATAACAAGGGTGACAAACAGGCACACAGTCCACCTGATGGTAAGTAAATTCTGTAATCCAAAGACATCTACATCCATCATTGATTAAGAATCAAAATGGAGATGCATTGTCACCCTTGAGGACTAGGATAGAATGTCTCGTTTCTTAAAAAGGGTATTCGGTTCTCTATACTCCAACATACGAAACACAGCAGCATTAACCAGCTACTTTTCGCTGGTAATCTGATGGGATAGGAAGACTTTACCAGATATTCAATCATTTTTAAATTAGTTGAAAACTTTAACCGTCATATTACAAATAGTTTATAAATAGTTTCAGGTTAAATAAAAAAGTCCCGCGAAAATATGTACATTAAGGCCCGCCACATACATACGGAATTCGGTTTCGGGATTCCGTTTCAGAATTCCGAAATGAAACGAACGGGTCGACCACACATATTATACGGAATCTCGTTTTGCCCGCAAACTACCGTACGGAAAACTACCGTTACGCTTCGCATACACCAAATCCGTCATCGGCCGAAGTTTGCACGGGCGACAACGGTCGAACTCGGACGATCGAATCAAACACTTGTAAAACAAAGAAAGCGCATACACGACCTTCATCGTCCGATAACGCACGAAAACAGCCGATCAACCGTTGAGTCCGAACTTGTTGGGATTTCTCGCCCGACTGCCGGCGTCTACAGTGCAAATTAAGTGTATTTATAGTTTAATTTAATCATTTTGTCTTTATTCTGTTGTTACTGTCAGTGTTGTTATCTACCTACACAACTATGGATTTTGAAAATATAAAAATAGAAAAGAATACCGGCAACGTCCAATGTCGGCACAAGTGGTACACTGTTGTAGTGTAAGCACATATACGTCCGAGTTACTCGTCCAGGTAGTTCTGTCCGCCATCAGCCGACAAAATCGGTTTTGGTGTAAACGTACCGTAAGTGTGTGACGGGTCCTTGATTTTATATGGATTTGTTGCGTTCAGAATCATGAATCGGGATACCGTAACACGAAACGGACGCGTTACGGACCGATTTTTTACGTGGTAGAGCCATGCTGCAGCTATATTTATTTAGTATAGTTGTAGCACAAATGGGTCAATTCCGTCCTCCATGGTGGCAGTACTCCAGAGACGTGGAGCAGGAGTGCGCTGGTCTTGTTCTTTAAGAAAGGCGACAACGCTCTCTTGAAGAACTACAGACCGATTTCCCTTCTGGGCCGCGTCTACGTGCTGTTTTCGAGAGTCATTACGAATCGTCTCGCACGCAGACTCGACGACTTCCAGTCTCCCGAACAAGCCGGTTTCCGAAAAGGTTTCAGAACCATAGACCACATACATACCCTGCGGCAGATTGTACAGAAGACTGAAGAGTACAATCTGCCACTTTGCCTGGCGTATGTGGACTATGAGAAAGCCTTTGATTCCGACGAAATTTGGGCGGTACTACAGTCCCTTCAGCGGTGCCAAGTTGACTGTCGGTATATCGAAGTGCTGAAGTGTTTGTACAGTAGGGCTATGATGGCTATCCGAGTACAGAACCAGTGCTCGAAACCTATCCAACTGCAGAGAGGTGTAAGACAGGGTGACGTTATATCGCCGAAACTCTTCACCGCTGCATTGGATACTGGATACAGATGCATTGGATACACCGATGCTAGATACAGATTTGGTCAAGAGGCGGTAATATATATTGTTACATTAATAAAAAACTTACTGGCAAAAGTAAATAACAGAGGTCTTCCAATTTCCCCAGAAATAGCCGTCTTATTAACTTTAAGGTTTTATGCCACAGCATCCTTTCAGGTATGTACATATTGTATATTTATTTAAGTAGGAATGATTTTATTCATTGTTGAAATTAATATAATGTATTAAATTCCAAAGTAGGAGAGAGCAACCACGACCTTTTCTGCCACCAAGGCGCAGTCCCTTAAAAATGAGGTTGTAATATTTAACAGATTTCATATTGGAGAAGTTAATTTGTTCAAAAAATGTACTTTCTGTACTTTTAGTTCTATTGTATATTAAATAGATTTAAAAATAAATAAACTGAACCACAGATATTCATAAAAGTAGAAAAAGATCAAAGTTACGTACAAGATGTTGTTTTGAAGTGTCAAAAATAATACGTCAGTTTTATATTTGAGACTGACGCTGTCGTCGATTTGCGTCAGGTTATTTGTACATATTGAATTAAGTGGTAAATATTTAGTTCGTATTTAGAAAGATATACGCAATAGTTTTAAAAATTTTGGCTTTTCGTAAGTAGAAAACAACCATATAACGTGATACAGTTCTATTTATTTAATTTTTATCAAAATAAAGGTACTCAATAAATCTCATGATATAGCAAAAACGAAACGTGATGAATGATATCCTAAATTTCGATCTGTGTGACGTAATCGTTCACGAGATCAAGCCCTCAAGTCACAGAATAGTATCCCTAAGTACAATGTCTTAAGGAACTCATCTTGGTAACTGAAATAATGTTTTTATGTGTTTAATAATTAGCAACGATCTTGAGATGCTGATATCATAATGAGAGCGTATCAAATGATTACGCACTTTAGCTCATCGCTGAGTAACATTTATTAATACGGGCCTTAGTCCTCACGGGTGACAACGTATCTGCATTTTGATTCGTGATCGTGGATAGATGTAGATGTCTACGGGCCGCAGCAACCACTTACCATCAGATGGACTGTGTGCTCGTTTGTCACTCTTAACTATAGAATAGAAATAGAAAATGTATTTATTTAACCAAAAAAACATTACATAATTAAGCAATACACTGGTTTCTGCACTAAGCTCTAGGCTTGTATCGCAGGAACCAAGAACATTGACTGACACCGTTTACACCGATAAATACATAGAACTCCGATTAAATTAAAATGAAGCGAAAAATAAATCTTTTTTTTTTTTTTGTGTGCGTGCGAACGAGTGTGTGTGCGTGCGTGTGGATGTGTGGTGTGTGTGTCTGTGTGAGTGTGTTTGTGTGTGGGGGGGGGGGATCGTGCTTGCGCGTGTGTGTGAGTGAGTGTAAGTCTACGCGTGTGCATGTATAGGGTCAACTATGAAAGGAAAGTAAGTTTTCCGTTTCCTGATAAGAAGCATGTAGCAGCCAGGTTGTTATTTTGTGTTTGACTTTACTTGTGGACAAAGACCTCAAATCTGGGAAGAGACAGCAGAATTTGTTGTAAATGCTAGGCAGAAGAAATGGTGAGTGGCGTTTGATAAAGCTACTGTGTGAATTGGGAATCGGCACTCGAAAGATCCGACGTTGGCACAGGCTAAGATAATTCGGGGAATTTATTATTTTTCTGTGGGTTAGTATTACTGCCTTTAAAATGTAGATTTGGCGAACCCGTAGTACCTTACATTCCTTGTACAGTTCGTCAGTAGGAAATCTAAAGTTTTTAGACAGCATTACTTTTAGTACTGCTCGCTGGGCCCTCTCGACTTCAAGCATTTTTGATTTGATAGCTCCACCCCAAGCCAGCGTGCAGTAGTATAGTAGGGATTGGGTTAGTGCTTTGTAAACCATTTTCATTGTTTCTTTAGTAGCACAACGTCGTAAAGCTTTCATTATGTAAATGGTTTTCCTAACACTACCCGACAAGCGGCTTAGATGGTTTTTAAATGATAGCTTATCATCAATGATCACTCCTAGATACCTGATGTTATCTGTGTTGCTGATTGTATTACATCCGCAAGAGGATACTTCAGATACGCAAGTGTGAATTACTAAGTTTACCAGCGAAAATGGTTTTGATGCGAGAGTTTTGTGAAAGGCTATGAACTTAGTTTTTTTATAGTTTAGAGTAAGTAAATTGGAACTTAACCATTTATTCAACACTACCATGCCTTTTTGAGCCGTCTCGAGTACGCTGTCCCAACTTAAATCATTAAATATAATGGCTGTATCATCCGCATAGCATATGACGTCTGCTCTTTGTATGGGTAATTCTAGGATGTCATTAATGTAAATGCAGAATAGGATTGGACCAAGAATACTTCCTTGAGGAACTCCAATACTGATTTTTAATTGCTTACTTGTATGTGAGCCCACTCTTATGCATTGACGCCGATTTAAGAGATAGCTACGAAACCAAGCCAACGCCACTCCTCTAATTCCTTTTGTTTCAAGCTTCCGCAGCAGAATAGGGACCGAGACGGTGTCGAAGGCCCTAGCAAGATCTAGGAAGATACCTAAACAGCTGCGTTTATTGTCCAAATGTCTAGACACAGCATCTGTCAGTCGCACTACCGCATCCTCCGTGGACTTACCCCTCCTGAAGCCAAATTGATTTACAGAGAGCAGATTATTATTTTCTATAAAGTTGGTGAGACGTTTGCTTACCATTTTTTCCAATAACTTGGAAAATATACTTAGCAAAGATATGGGCCTGTAATTACTAGGACAGTTTTTATCCCCATCTTTGTGTATTGGAGTAACAACTGCTAATTTCCAACAATTAGGAAAAACGCCACATAACAAGCTAAGATTAAATATGTGGGTAAGTGGATGCAGAACTATGTGTTTTATCTGTTTAATCAACCTTGGGGTGCAGCTGTCTATACCCGGTGCAGTATCGTTTTTTAGCTGGTCAATAAGCGTACCAACTTCATAAGGATCCGTTGGCTGCAGAAAGAGGGAGTCCTTGCAAAGCACTCTTGGTTTGTATTCTGCAGCTAACAGGTCTTCTTGGGTGTTTAATCTTCTGAGCGTGTCATCTGCCAGTTCTCTGCCAACTCTAGTGAAGTACTCGTTACAAGCGTTTAAAGAAGAATCAGGGTCTTTGTCTACGGACAACAATTCAGTAGCCTCGGTAGTGTTACGTGTGAGATTACATATATTTTTGAGCGATTTCCACAACTTTTTTGGGTTATCTTTATTTTGCTGAATTTGATTATTCTCGTATTCGGTCTTTAATTTTCGTTGTAGCGCGTAAAGGAAGTTTCTGTATCGTTTATAAGTGATTTGGATAAATGTGTTATAAGGGTTTCTCCTGGCTTCGAGATGCAGATTGTCACGGTGTTTTTGGCATCTCATTAAGCCTGGAGTTATCCATGGCTTTATAACTCGATCTGACCGTTTGGGCACCACATAACTTGTGTTTTCGTTTATTGCCGTTTCTAAGATTGTGTAAAAATTATCAGCTGCCTCGTTAGCATCTTCCATATTCATTATCAATGACCAATCAGTCGACTCCAGCTTGTCAACAATCCGATTAAAATCCATTTTGACCTTACCGTGGATTCGAGATGGGTGATTCGCCTGGTTGATGGTAGTACCAAGTAAACAAATGTCATGATCAGTAAGATCTGCATGGCACACTATACCAACAGCAGAATCTGTACCCCTTACGAAGATGTGGTCCAGGCAGGCCGAGCCCCTGGTAGGCTCCGAGATAGCAGTGAGCAGTTGATGACTTGCTAACAAGCATAGATACTCGGAGCACTGATCATCAAGTGGGTCTCCGTTTATATTTATATTTAAGTCACCTGTCAACACCACGGCATGCTTGTTGTTAATTTCCGATAATGATTTATCGATAAAGGCTATAAAGTTTTTCACATTATTAATAGAGGGAGACCTATATATCCCTAGAATAGTAATTTTATTATTTAAATTTAATTTTAGGCAATCGCACTGGTCACTTAACGGTTCTGAAGAATTTACACTCCATGAATCTTTAACGTATGCGGTGACTCCTCCACTTTTATTTAGGTTATTTTTTGTGTAAAAGGAAATATATCCTGGAATTTGTGGAATCGTGGGGTTTACACCAAGCCAACACTCCGTTAGAATAACCACATCTGGATCAACATTAAGTCGGGCTAACGAAATCAAAAAACCATCAAAATTGCGTTGGAGGCTCCTAATATTGACATTTAAAACTTTAAAGTCGACACCTACGGGTAATAAATTACGACATTGCTCTAGGCTCTCAATGGAATGACACTTTACTGTCAAAGTTTCGTCTATATCAACATGAAAGTCACACATTTTTTCGCTTAATAATAACAAATAATTCTACTAACTGCAAGAGTGATTTTGGACAGTTGTCATTGATTGAGAGCCAGAACAATCGGGACTGATGATTGTGTAGAGTGATGTTGGTGCGGTGCGTTGTGTGTGTGAAAGACATTGAGTTATATGTACTATGTACTAGTACATATAACTCACTGGTGAAAGTGTGTATGCTTGTTCTAGTAATAGAAATTGTAATAAGTCTATTGTGTTTGATTACGGTAAATTTAACAAAAAGTAAAATATCACTTTTAGGAGAGTTCGCTTGCTAACTGGTGCCTCGGATAAAATTTCTTTCGTGAAAAAGACTGATTTCATCCAGGGACTATGAGAACCATTTTGTAATTAGACGGTTATAGTCCTACTACTAAGGGGGCGTCCATAAATTACGTGAGAAGTTTAAGGGGGGGAGGGGATCGAGTCAAATCTCATCTAATCTTACGTTGGAGAGAGGGGGGGGGTCTCGGCAATATTTTTTTGATTACAACAAAAAAAATTACTATTTTGGTCCATTTAATCTAGATTGTACATGCTTAAGATTTAATCTTAAGCGTATATCGTAATGCGATTAACCACTACTGAAATGTCAGGTTATTAAACCAATTAGTCAAACCCATGGTCAAGCCAAAAAGTTTAGTAGGTTTAGCCAAAGGCAATTTTTTTTATAACCTAAACATAACATAAACACTCACGCCTGTCACCCAGAGGGGTAGGCAGAGACTACAGACTTCCATTTGGCACGATCCTGACACACCTCTCTCGCCTCCTTCACATCCATACACCTGTGTCACCATGCTCGTCGGTTAAGGGTACTCCTAATTTGGCCCGTTTTCAATAAATCACCAATTTGGTCGATAAATTTTCGCCTAGGACGTCCCTTTCGTCAATCATTCTTTCCATCATGTTTAATGTCCATGTCACACCTATGCCGGTAGTTGTTGGGAGCACTATGCTCGAAGTTGTTGACGAGTACGTTTACCTGGGACAAGTAGTCAGACTTGGTAAGTCCAACTTCGACCGAGAGGTCAATCGACGGATTCAACTCGGCTGGGCAGCGTTCGGGAAATTACGACACATCTTCTCGTCAGGTATACCTCAATCTCTGAAACCTAAAGTGTATAACCAGTGCGTGTTGCCAGTGATGACTTACGGGTCAGAGACATGGTCCTTCACTGCTGGCCGTATGAGGACCCTCAAGGTCATTTAGCGAGCTATAAAGAGGACTATGCTCGGAGTTTCTCTGCGTGATAGACTCAGAAATGAGGATATCCGCAGTAAAACCAGAGTGACCGACATAGCCCAACAGATTAGTAAGAATGAAATATATGAAGTGGCAATGGGCCAGCCATATAGCTCGAAAAACTGACAACCGATGGGGAAAAAGGTTCTCGAGTGGCAGCCTCGTACCGATAGGCTTAGTGTAAGGCGACCCCCCACTAGATGGAGTGACAACCTGGTAAGACATGCAGGAAGACAATGGATGCAGATGGTTCAGGCCCGTGCTTTGTGGCATTACTTGGGGGAGGCCTATGTTCAGCAGTGGACTTGTGAATGACTGTAATGATGATGAATGATGATGACAAGTAATTATTGACATAATAGCGATTGCTTCATTATATTTTGCACTCAGAATAATTAATAAATTTGGCAGTGTTACAAATAACAGATCGAACTCTGTAACCTAGTTCATGATTTTTACATAAGAATAAGCCCGAAAAATTTAATGTAACATAAGTTTAAAATTCAAAATGTAAACTTTTTGTAATTACAAAGTAATTCATATACATCTATGTATTAGCGCCGATTTCATAATATCTTCTATTATGTGGGAATAATTTTATTCTCTTTAGTTATTTTGAGACAGACGACTTTTACATTTTAATAAAAGTCAAACTGAAAATGTTTTTGAAAACTTTCAGTGTACTTATGAATATCACAAGGTTAAGGTAATATCGAAAATGACGTCTAATTAGTTTCAAATACCCACTTTGGATATTGACGAGGACCTTAACAGCGTGATTAAGATCTTACGGGATGAGGGCAACAGGTTTTGTGGCCAGCAACATACGGGCCGAAAGTCGAAGTTCTAAGATGAGACACTTCAGCTTGATGAAAAGAAGGCTTGAGTTAACAACAGCATCACAATCGGAACAGGTGACACTAACCACGCTTGTGCGGAAAGCTGTGAGGCGAGAACTGCGTCGCTCTAATGCAATTGCTATACAAGCGGCAATAGAGCGAAACAAGGGATCCAAAATCTTTGTTCGGGATCTTGGAAGAAGTCACATCACAAAACTCCAGACGCATGATGACAAAGTCCTCACGTCAAAGCCTGAGGTTCTCTCTTAGATCGAACACTATTATGGCAAATTATATGCCTCACATAAGCCACAACCTGACCCTAAATGCGATGATCCCAGAGCCACGCTGACCCGCCACTGTACCGACGAGCTATGAGAAAGCCTTTGACTCCATTGAAACTTGGGTTGTTCTAGATTATTTGCAGAGGTGCCAAAGTGACTGGCGGTACATCGAAATGCTGAGATGCCTTTAAAACACCAGTACGATGTCCGTCTAAGTACAGGACAGTCAAACAAAACCATTCCATTCAAGCATCGCGGAGTGAGACAGGGAGATGATATATCCCCTAAACTGTTTACAAATGCACTGGAAGATGTTTTTAAGACGTTAGACCGGAAAGGACGCGGTATTAACGTAAACGGTGAGTACATCTCACACTTACGCTTTGCTGATGATATTATCGTCATGGCATAATCGCTGCAGGAACTTCAGGATATGCTGAACAGACTAAATGAATCCTCCCAACGTGTTGGTCTGTGCATGAATTTGAACAAGACAAAAGTTATGTTCAACGATTACGTCATGCCAGTTCCAATTACTGTTGATGGTGAAATTCTCGAAGTTGTCCAGGAATATACCTACCTCGGGCAGATATTGCAACTAGGTAAGAATAACTTCGAGAAAGAAGCCGATCGGAGAACACAGTTGGGCTGGGCAGCATTTAGAAAGCTCCGTCGGGTTTTTACGTCGCCCATACCGCAAAGTCTGAAGACAAAAGTCTTCAACCAGTGCGTTCAGCCCGTACTCACTTATGGTGCCGAAACGTGGACACTGACGATACGTCTGCTCCAAAAGCTTAAAGTCGATCAGCGAGCAATGGAAAGAGCTGTGCTCGGAGTTTCTCTGGTAGACAAAATTCGAAATGAAGAAATCCGCCGGAGAACCAAGGTTACTGACATAGCTTTCCGTGTTTGTAAGCTGAAGTGGCAATGGGCTGGTCATGTCTGTCGTAGAGGTGACAACCGGTGGACTAGACGTGTTATGGAGTGGAGACCGCGTCTAGGCAAACGTAGTGTGGGACGCCCCCCTGACCAGATGGAGCGACGATCTGCGCAAGGTGGCTGGTAGAAACTGGATGCGTGTAGCCGAAGATCGGGCTAAGTGGCGCGCCTTGGGAGAGGCCTATGTCGAGCAGTGGACTGCCGCAGGCTGATGATGATGATGATGATAGTTTCATTAAAACCTCCTTCCCTTATTTAACCATTCTTAAGGTGGGTGTACGCTACAGGAGCGGAGCATGAGCCGAGCACAAATTAGTGTAGTATGGACCGACTTACAAGCCTCGAATTGAGCGTTTTTCTCTGCTTCTATTCTCGGTTTTTTGACGAAAACAAAGGGGTTTGCATCGCACTCGCAGTGTGATTTTTGTAAGGTCGGTGTACGTCCACAATTGACACCGCGAGTAGAGTGGCTCAGATTGTGCGCAGCTCGTGTTCGGCTCCTCTATCGTAGACCCACCTTTAATGGTAGAACATTTTGTTCAAATTAACGAACAATAATTAAGAAGATATCGCGTAACATACAACAAAACTTCCTTTTTTATAAAATGATAAAAATTTAAATATAATATAGAATACAGTCGTTAACACATATTTTACTAGCTGGCCAGGCAGACATTGTTCCGCCCTTTTCGACGACCCTACCTATAAAAAAATCCTTGAGCTCGCTATAAAAAATATTGGGAGTCACCTATCGGGATCAAAACTATCGTATCTTTCAAGTTGGACAAAACTGCACGCAGTGTGAAAACTTTCATTGAAATCAATTCAGTAGTTTAGGGAGTTTATCGCGAACAAACAATGTGACACGTAATTTTTATATATAAAGACTATAAAATACCAATTCAAAAACAAAAACATAATCTCTCTACTCTAACTCTAGCACTAGAACTAGCCTATACTAAAACGACCGTTAAACTTTTAATAACCTGACAAGTACGTCCAAGTAGCAGTTCGTTTTGGTTGTCGCTGGTCTCAGGTTTAGTGAGCAAAGTAGGCGCCAAATAAAGAGTCATCTCCAGTGCTCGAGCTAACCCATGGTAAAGGTCGAAGCAAGTCGCACATAACTTTATCTGACGAGGTTCTAGATGAGCATCTATACGCACTCTGTCCATCTGAAAATATACCAACTTTGTATTAATTTCTTATATGGTTATGTTACGCTACAGTCCATTATGGCTGTAGCACAAATACTTCGGCTTGACCAGGACAGGGCCACGCTGGCACAGAACACCAGCGTAAAAGTGCAGCATAGTGTAGTGCAACAGCCTCGTACCGGTAGGCGAAGTGTAGGGCGACCCCCCACTACATGGAGTGACGACCTGGTAAGACATGCAGGAAGTCGATGGATGCAGGTGGCTCAGGACCGTGCTTTGTGGCATAGCTTGGGGGAGGCCTATGTTCAGCAGTGGACTTGTGAAGGGCTGTAATGATGATAATGATGATGATGAATATGTTAAAGTATGAATATATTTTCTTTTGAAGAAAATGTATTCATACTTTATTTTCTTGGGATGGAAAGGCAGAACAACAAGTGAATTCCGATTATCCTATATATATATATATATATATATATATATTATCGGAATTCACTTGTTTGTGTTCGTTTACACGCGTTTCCGAGTCCATTTATCCATCCTACCTCCATCCTCCGAAGGTGGACAAACAAAATAAACCGTTATGGGTCACAACATCTGCTTAAATACCGACACCGCATCTGTATTTTAATTCTAAATCGAGGATACGTATCTATCAGCCACAGCATCCGCTTACCATCAAGTAGACCACGCGTTCGAATATCACCTAATGTTTAAAAATAAACAGCATAATCCGTAGGTCATATTTTATTCTCCTACGAAGAAAGAAACTCTAAAATAGATTAATGAGTTATTAAGAGGATACCTTGAAAATTAATCGAAGTTTTGGGGGCGTGGCTTATTCCTTTGTCGGTGAAGCTAACGGGCGACTGAGAGAGTGTCAAAACGAAAGTGATGCAATGACTTCATAGTACGCAAATTATGAGATAGCCATACCGAGCAAGCGCTCGGAAAAAAATTAAGTAAGCGCCAAACAACATTTTTATTTATTTTAACAAAACTTCGTTATGGATTAAAAAACTGGTTTATGCGAACTTAGATATGATTATTTACTATGCTTTAAAAATAATTCCATGAAATTATTTCTAATAATATTGTGGTGTCATCGAGAAATGTAAATAATTAGAGTCTACTTTGCAATTTTTTTTTCTATCGAGAAAATTACATGATATCGTGTTTTCCTTTTATGCAATCCAAGATTATATAGTCAAAAATCATATACCAGAATTTTGGTTTGTAATCTATAAAATTTAAAAAAATATGTTAAATAGAAAAACCACCAAATTTTCGAGGTATCACCTTAAAATTAAATCTCGGACTAATAAGTACCTCTTGCATCATTGTGATAAACTCTGAGAACGCCCAGTTCAACTGACTGAGCAGAGAGTTAAGAAATGCAGATGCTTCTTTTGGATTTGCCATGAGGTAATCTTTTATGCGACTCTGAATCACTTCTGAAGGGCAAGGTCCTGAAACAAAAAAAGTATTTATTGTTGTTTGGTTTTGTAAATTAAAGTAAATATAAAAATTATCACCCATTCAGTAATCTATTATTAAGTCTTCTATCTAACCTTGTAGTGGAGGTGTCATAATATCCACACTCCATATCATCCCTTGGGTGTTAGAAGAGGTGACGGCTCCGTGGCACAGTGGCTTAGAGTAATTGCGCTGGGGGCCAAGGGTTCGAATCCCGCACGGAACAAGTATTTGTATGGCCTATAAATAATTGTTCCGGGTCTGGATGTTTTTCCTTGTGCAATTTATGTCTGTAAGCTGTCTCAACGATACAGGAGAAAATCCTAGTGTGCGGGTAACTTTTCAAAAAAAAGGAAAAAAGAGAAACTGAAACAGAGATGGGCAGTAGCAACTTTCTGAGAACAACTCAAAATAATGGAAAACTGCAGTTGCTAACCCGTCTGCCAAGCATGGCAACTTTGGCGTGATTTCGCCAAATGAGCCTTTATGAGCCAACCTATGGGCGAGGTCTATGTCCAACAGTGGACTTTTATAGGTTGTAATGGATCTATAGATGCAAGTCATCTGTTGCGATAAGATAGTTTTTATATCAATAAAAATTACTGTACCACATTATCAAGAACCTTTCTATTTAAACGAGAAAATCCATCTAATCTCTCAGTGGTGACAACGCATATTCAATTAGTGTCAATTGTATGTATCTATGGACGACAACATCCACTTACCATCAAGTGGATTATAAGTACGATCGTTACCATTACTTCAATAAAAACGCATGTGCATTAGTATTATAGTACTTGAGGGTAATATTGTCGTACGGTTAATATGGTCACTTCCTTATAACTCAAAAACTACAACCTTGTTTGCATAGATGGCTTTATGACACGATGGCTCTTTACAGTCCATCAAATATTAAAGGGTCATAAGTGTGCTGATTTATCGACGCTATTTTGTCAGTAGACATTATAGTAAACATCTAGTCGATTTTAAAATGGCAGCATAATACTACTGTGTTTCGTATGGTTCGTGTATAGAACCGGACACACATATTACTGGAAACGAGGCATTCCATCTTAGTTCTCACGGGTGATAACGGATCTGCGTTTTGATTCGTAATACAGTATAAATGTAGATGTCTCCAATGTCTGTCTATGGGCCACAGAATTCACTTACCATCACGTGAACTGTGTGCTCGTTTGTCATCCAATCCTATTAAAAATAAAACCGGCCAAGAGCGTGTCGGGCCACGCTCAGTGTAGGGTTCCGTAGTTTCCCGTCGGTCACAATAAGTGTTCCCACTTATGAGTTTAAAGGTGGGTATCCATTATGTTCGCGCTCCAGCAGTGCTCCGCGCTCCTGCAACTGCTCCCGGTAGTGGGTACTATTGTTTCCATCCAAGTTCAAAATAGTTTTCCTAGAAATTCCTTATAAAGTTCTACTTTTCAGATTTTTTTCATATTTTCTAAACTTATGGTTCAAAAGTTAGAGGGGGGGACACATTGTTTTTTACTTTTGGAGAGATTATTTCCGAAATTATTGACATTATCAAAAAATGATTTTGTTTACTAAATATTACCCTATTCATTTTTAAATACCTTTCCAACAATATATCACACGTTAGGGTTGAAATTAAAAAAAATCACTTCCCACTTTACATATGGGGGGCTACCCTAAGAAAACATTTTATTCCAATTTTTATTTTACCACTTTGTCGGCGTGATTGATACACATATTGGTACCAAATTTCAGCTTTCTAGTGCTAACGGTCGCAGAGATTAAGCGAGGACGGACAGACGGACAGACAGACATGGCGAAACTATAAGGGTTCCTAGTTGATTACGGAACCCTAAAAACCATCAAGTGGACTGTGTGCTCGTTTGTCACCCTTATTCTATAAAAAAATGACATGACCGCCTCATTGGTCTACTGATCATAAGCGTGACTGCTGATCATAAAGTACAGGGTTTGAAGATCGGATAATAAGTAATTGTGATTTTCTGTCAATAAATTCTGAGTAACAGCCCGAAGTCAGAAAGATGGTGGTGCCCGGGGCATCGGAAAGCAAGTAAAGCCGTTGGTCCTGCGCTTGATCTCCCTCCGATCGATCGATTTGCCGTCCCATGAACTGTAAACCTGTCCAGCGCAGATGGCTAGTGTCCTTACACTCCGAAAATCGGTCTTGAGGACATTATTAAGGTTTTGGCTTGGCTTTTATATGAATTTGAATGTGTGCTTCGGTGCTCCGCGTTTCTTTTCTTGTTAGTCTAGGTTTAAAATAAATACATTTAAATAAAAAAGAAAGTTTGTAAAAAAGGCATACGACCACCATATTGGAATGCATTTTTCCTATTTCTATGTTGATCAAACTATGTTGGTATATAACTTTAATTAAAAATTTAAATAACCCTCGAAAAAAAGATGATGATCTTCAAACTGCCGAACAGATATTCTTAAAACAAAGCTAAAAACACACTCGATTAAGACACCTTTCAAATGAATAAAACTAAACCAGAATCGGTTCATCCGTTCAGAAGCTATGATGTCACAGACATATACACAGATACACATTACAACCTTGTAACATCCCTTTGTTTTAAGGGTATAAAAATGAATAAAAAATCGATAAAGAAGATAATACCGAAACATTGAGACATAAGACCGGCATCAACCTTTGCACCCAAATTGTTTACAGTTGGTTCTCGGTCACCGAATCTGAAAATTTTATCTGTAATTATGTAAATTAAAAACGAAAAACAAATTAGACCATTAATAATTAAAGTAAAGCTAAAAATAAGCTTTCAAAGAATCAGTTTAACACGTTAATGCAATAAGAACTGTTTCTTTAAAGAAAACCTTGTGATTATGCAGTTAGAATATATTAATGTTGCCATGTATGTATTAACAACAAACGTAATTATACTTCGCAGCCAAATGTGGCCATTGTCGGTGTCGAAAGCCAAAACCGGAGCCGTGCCAGAAACGAACGAGCACCCAATTGGACTGGGCCCAAGCACGATTTTGATAAGGTCGCACCAATTCCTCCACCATGCACATCTGCCTGCAAATAATATGAAATTGAATAACTTTACTCTGAATATATTAAAGTATACATGAAATCACAGCCTTGATACGCGCCACTGCTCAACCTCAACAAACCTCTCATTTCTAAGAGGATTTTAGAACAGCTATTCAGCAGTGGAGTTTGTTATGATTAACCAAAATCAAAATAACTGTAACTTGTGGCATAAGTGTCTAAAGCAATAGCAATAATAATAAAGTTTTGAAAAATAACTTGAACAACGCGCATTAAACACTATTTGTGATTATCTTTGAGAATACTATGTCATGTCTGGAATCTGGCTGATATACTGGAATCGGGCTGGCATAGCAGTTACACAGAACAATGGGCAAATAAGGAATGCTTGTGCTGCTGAAAGGATTGCCATGGAGACAATGGAACTTTCTTGCTGTCTGACACCATCCACACATCACTTTTCTGCTTTTGTAATTTTACATTTTATTTGAATTGGTTTTTTTGTAACATTTCTGAAATTAAATTAATTTTATTTCTTTTAAAGTATTTCGAACGCCGCCGTAACGTAACTCATGTCATGAATTTATTGTATTATCTTCAATTGTTAACAAACCAGCAAAATTTCAGATTATTCAAATGTTTGGAAATGGGTTTTTTTCTTGTCGGAGGCGGATGGCGGGAGGTGCTCTTCAATCCAGGTAAGACACATCATTGTATTTAGTTAACGGAAGGTTGCGAAGTAATTTATATTTTTAGTACTTTTTTAACCACATAATACTAGAAAGAAAAAAAAATCGTTATCCGTAATCCGTAAAATGTCCGACTGCAATCGCTAATCTGTTTACTATTTCACTATTAGGGCAAATTTCTTTCTGTGCTTTCTTTCTTTGTAACTCCAATTATAATAGGGGAGATCTATTAACGACACTGGACGAATTATTGATAAAGACAATAAAGAAGAAAACTAGTCGAGTTACCAAAGGCCTGTCAAACTAGTCAAGCGGTCAAAATCGTTACCCGTTACCTGTTACCAAAAGGTAACAAATTACTTATTCTACTGTGACATGAGACCATTCGTTTACATTACGGTTACTTTTGCTAAATGAAAAATACTTTCTAAGAAAATATACCGAATGCGCTGATTTATTTTTACTTTACTTTAATACTGGATTTTGCTATTTAAAGTTAGATAACTTTACTGACAAATGAGATCAAAAGTTTTGTGTGGCAGTATACGCAATGGCGGCTCTATAGACCCTTTAAATCTCTTCTGTTAAAAGCCAATCACTGTACAATAAATTTAACTCAAGCTGTAAGTTTATAAATCAAGTGCTAAAGTTAAGCCTACATAATTCTGCCCAAAATTACGGTTCTAAAGCGTCTAATATCTATCAATTTTATATGTTACTTTAATTATATTAACTTTAAGTCGCTATGGAATTGAGTTTGTCGATACTTAAATACTCGTAAAACGTTTTTACCTAGACTTTTTTTCTGGCTGTGTAATTTCTAATAAAGGTGTGCATCACGTGTACATCAATAAGACAGAGCAATCAAATAGAGCAGTCAGGCTTTGTGGCGCAGAGGTATGGCATTGAATTGTGACGCTACGGGAAGCGGGTTCAAATCCTGTATGTAACATGTAAACTGCCGCCACGATACCGGAAAATATCGAAGCGTAGGGGTTAACGATTAATTTAAAAAAAACTTTGACTATGACTCTGCTACTATACCACCGATACGGAAGGTATCATTGTCATAAAGAGAATCTCCCACCTACCGCATAATACTTTAAGCTACATTTTACGGTCGTGCGTTAAAAAGTAACTCAAAGTAGCTCCTGAGCTACCCCAACACTGTACTCCGGGTGGGCTCAGGGCTAACGCTCGCTGATAATTTCACAGTACCCGAGCAAACTGGGTTTGATATCTGCCGGCACCAATTAATTTATTAATTGCAATTTTAAGAGCTGATATACCAAGAACTCGGCGGTGAAGGAAACATGAATAATTTCGATGACATGTGAAGTTCACCAATATGCATTAGGGTAGCGCGACGGCTATTTCCTTGCCCTAAAACCCTTTCAGAAATGAGAGAAGTCCTGTGCGTAGCAGAGGGATGTATAGAGGCTCTAATCCTACTTTACTTTTTACTTTTACGACCTACTAATGGCTTAATTCCGTAGAAGTCACTGGTAATGTGCATTAGACAAAAAATACACAATGTATTGTTATTTCACGAATACAGAAAATCAGAGATAGTCACTATTTAGAGCGGGGAAAACTAGCATGCGGCTGATCTTATGGTAAGTGATTACCGCTGCCTATGAACAACTGCAACACCAGGGAAATTGTAGATGAGTTGCCGGCATATTAAAAAAAAAGCGGCCCTTTTCTAGAAAGTCCCGAAGTCGTATCAGGCCGGAACTAAGACTAACTAACTTAATTTTTTATATAGCATTGGGTGACAAACGAGCACACAGTCCACCCGATGGTAAGTGAATGCAGTGGCTCATAGACATCCACAATTATCTTTAACTAAGGATCAAAATGCAAATGCGTTGTCACCCCTGAGGACTAAGATGGAATGCCTCGATTCCAGTAAAAAGGGTCACCGGTTCTCTGCACTCACCATACGAAACACATCAGCATTGTGCTGCAATTTTACGCTGGTATTCTGTGAGAACGCGGTCCTGCCCTGGTTGAGCTGACCCATTCGTGCTACAACTATAATATAGCTGTAGCGTGGCTCTAATTTCAGATTTCTCATCAACCTTCCAACTACTTACTGTTTTACGGGCACTTTCTCTATCGCTCTCATGGTGGCTGGTTGCGTTGCAAACGACGCCAATGTTTGGACAAGCGATTCCCTCGTACTAGCCAGAACAATACGTTGGTCCGCAAACTCCGCGCATAGAAAAGACGCGCATGACACCATTAACTCTTCCCATTCTGTTAAAAAATAAAGGTAATTTATTTCTTGTTATACTCGTAGATTATTGCAATTCAAATATCTATTAAGTACGTCAAGGCTGATTATTGATAGCAGTATCGAATGCAAAAGTATCGGCTTTTTGCTTACCAACACCAACCCTTCTATGTTGAGGTGGTAGAGCTATGCTGCACCTATATTACAGTTGTAGGACGAATGGGTCGGCTCAACCGGGGAAGCACCACGCTCTCACAAAATACCAACGTAAAATAGCAGTTTAATTCTGCTGTGTTTCGTTCGGTGAGTGTAGAGAACCGGAGACCCTTTTTACTGAAAACGAGGCAACTCATCTTATTAATTTTCAGGGGTGGCAACGCATCTGCATTTCAATTCTTAATCGAGGATAGATGTAGATTTTTTGGGCATCCACTTACCATCATTTGGACTGTGTGCTCGTTTGCCACCCTAATTTTATTTAAACAAAATCACTTTTTGCTAGGATACACACGACATATCTATTAGTTCTGAAGCCTAAACTTACCTGCTACTTGATGGATCGGTACAGTGGGATGCATGTATAATCTCAAAGTGTTACAAAGTTCCAACATAGCATCCACGTGGTATTCGGGCACAAAGGCAAATAACGATTCCGCAAATCCAGTCTGACGGCTATCTAAAAGTGATTATAATATTTAATTTCTGAAAGTGATTCTTTTAATTAACTTTGCGATATATTTTAAATCAAAGTAACAGATGGGCATCACGCACGCTCTAAAGTTAAAATGGAGGTGCGCAGGACACGTAGCGAGAATGAGCGACGAGCGATGAACAGTTCACATGACGTCATGGCCAGATCCTACAGGCACTTGGAAAAGAGAATACCTTCAGCATCTATACTGGCAGACGACATCACTCGAGTCGCATGCAAAAACTGCACGTCAGAAACCAAAGACCGAAACCGCTTTCGTCGCTTTTTCTGGAGGAGGCCTTCACCCTCACTACTTAAGGGGTTCATGCATAGTATTTTTTTAACTTAAATCTTTATTATATTTTAAATCTATAACTTTATTTTCTTACTTTCATTTTATTTCTATTTTTTTAAACTATATTAAAAACCAAAAATTTTATATACATTAAAAATAATAATGAATTCTAACAAGTACATTTAATTTTTAATTTGACTTAATTTGTATCAAGCTAGTCTACACCAAATAAATGCATCACCAGCTGATCTAAATTCGATATGCTTCAGAAAATTATTATGAATATTTTCAATTGACTCTATATAAATATTATTTTATCATTTATTCCAAAATGTTGAGCAATATTCTAATATTGATCGAACCAACGAGTTATACAAAATAATTTGGGTTGAGCGTTTTTTAGTCTTTAGTAATTCGTAAGACAAATCCAAGTACCTTATATGACTTGTTAACTATTTTATCATTGAGATTTAAATATTAATTTTTGATCCATACACGCCCAGGTCCCGCAACTCGGTTACCCAACTTATCGACACATCGTTTATTTTATAATCAAATATATCAATACTCGTAGTATATTTTTTCCATATCAATTGTTACTCATAAAATACCATCTACGAGTATTATTCATATACAGTAATGAATGTAACTTGAGTATGTAGCACAGCGCATACATTTTTAGTGTTATTTGCCAACTACGTATATTCTCGTACATGTTCGTATTTCATTTTCGCACCAGTTTTACGAGAGAGAAGAATTTACCACTGTTTAACTAAGAACCGTGGCAACAGCGTGGCGCAGTATAGTATATTTATTATTGGGTTTGTCACGTATGACGCTATTTACATCAAGGTTTTTTGTTCATGGTCTTATTACTTAAATTATGAGTTAAATATATTAATATAAAAATCTCTATTTTAGTATAATATGTAGTGTAGTATTAATTTTATTATATTTTTTCTAAAACGTCTTATACGTGGTAGAGCCATGCTGCAGCTATATTAGTAATATAATTGTAGCACGAATGGGTCGGCTCGTCCGGGGAAGGACCACGCTCTCACAGTATTACCAGCGTAAAATAGCAGCTTAACGCTGCTGTGTTTACGTATGGTGTGTGAAAAGAACCGGAGATCCTTTTTGCTGGAAACGAGTCATTCCATCTTATTCCTCACGGGTGACAACGCATCTGCGTTTTGATTCATATCTAAGGCTACATGTAGATAGATGTCTATGGGCCGCAGTAATCACTTAATATCAGGTGGACTGTGTGCTCGTTTGTCACCCTATCCTATAAAATAATAAATCGTTTTTTTTATTTTTCTGTGTGTCTGCCTTTATCGATCGATATCTATGTATCTATGATAGTAACTTGGGTTATAACAGTAGATTCTAATAATGATAAATTTCTAAATCATATTATTTGAATATGCTGAAGCAGTTTTGAGCAACAAAACTCTTATCCTTATTTAAAACATTTTTTTAGAAAATAACAAGCCGCCGAGTTCGCCATTATTGGATCTACTAACGTAGCTTCATTTAAGTTTAAGATAATCTACTGAGACCACATATTTATTTATTTTTACAAAAAATCTGACGTGTTTTAGTATAGCCTCGATCACTCCAGGCTTTTAATACGTGGTAAAGCCATGCTGCAGTTATATTAACAGTATAGTTGTAGCACGAATGGGTCGGCTCGATCGGGGAAGGACCACCCTCTCACAGAATACCAGCGGGAAATAGTAGTTTTATGCTGCTGTGTTTCGTATGGTGAGCGTAGAGAACCGGAGACCCTTTTTACTAGAAACGAGGCATTTCATCTTAGTCCTCACGGGTGACACCGCATCAGCATTTTGATTTGTAATCGAGGATAGATGTAGATGTCTATAGGCCGCAGCAACCACTTACCATCAGGTGGACTGTGTGCTCGTTTGTCAACCTATCCTATAAAAAAAGGCATTACTATCAATCTGTTCGCAAAGTTTTATTATAATCAGTTTAGCCAGCAGACTTAAGCATCCGCTTATCATCCTCGCTGCTTTTCATAATAGAGTCTTTAATCTGATCATCGACGTAATCGTCAATAATCGAGATCAGGGATAGACTAGGATGCAATGTCAATGCAATGCAGCACGCCAGGACCAGACTGCAAACGCGGACGCGGGGCGGGCGTGGCGCGACGTACTTAAACATAAAGTCTTCTTTTGAGTGTCGTTCATAGTAGCCACGCGGGCGTTGGCTGGTGCGTGTTAATTGATGAGGGGAACGCGCGGGCAACTCACGCCATAGCTCGTTCATACAAGTGGCCGCAGTGAATGTGCGGTCGGCAAGCGGCTCAGGCTAACCATACGAGGAGCGGACATCTCAAACCACATCGAGCTAAACACGCGCGTTGTAATGGCGTCTTCCAAAATAAATGTAGAATAATTTATTTTATAAGTCGATTAACTATCCATTGATATTCTCCTATATCCAAAAAAACTTTTGATTTTGCGCTCGCAATTTTACAAATAGTGTGTGAAATTCTCCTTCATTTTCTCTGGGTAAATTGATTAAATTAATTCCATCTCTCACTTGTAGAATTTGCCATTCAAAGTAAAAACTTTCCAGTAAAAATAAGTCTTCTTCATCCGTATTATAATAGTTTGACAAACACTTATTTGAATGACGCGCATCGCGCCCCCACCCGCGTTTGTAGTCTGACCAAGTACACACAGTCAAACCATGTTGGTTGCTACTGAAATCTTAGGGCCTAACAAAATAAAATGTAGTAATTAAATTCAGTAAAAATGATAATAACTAACTTGGATTTGACAGAGTAATTTGAGCATTCGATCCTTGAAGAGGCGTCACCGCTCTGGACGTTGGGCTTTGCGGACTGCAAAAATTTTAATATGACATTAACCATTTTAACAACTACAAAAATTTCATATTATACACTGGAATTTGTGAATCTATTTCGACATTTTTTGTCGCCTATTGGAACAAAACAATTGGTAGCTATAATTTTTCACAGTAACATTAGGTAAGGAATAGAAATGTTGACGCATGTGAAAGGTTAATTGAGTAGAGTATATCCAAAATTAGTCGATATCGATACGTTAAATAAACGATTTCACAAAATCTCTTTCTTGTGGTGCTGCTCTTAACATTTCTGAATACGAAAGGATACGTGAGTAATTGATGCGGTTCGATGTTGCGATCGAAATACAATACGAAATATGTTATACATTTTTCTTTATGGTAGACTAGCTGATACCCGGCGTGTGCCACTACGCTTAAAAAAGAGGACGTCAGAAATTCGTTTTGTCAGAATTTCGGACAGCACAATTTCCATATATTTTATGGAAAGTTTATGTGGATAAATGTGAAAAAATATATTCATATATTTATCCTTTATTTCAAGCACCTTCAACGAGAACTTAATGCCTTATAGCATTTTCTACCAGTCAACATACCCATGGAATATTGATCATAAATAGAATTAGCGGAACGATATTTCTGATGGTGTGGGGGACGACTGGCGCGCGTTTGCTCTTGCAATGTGCGGTCAGCCTTACAAGCAAACTACTGGATATAAGCTTTTTTTAAACAAACACCACAAAAGTCTTTTTTTTTATTTTGTGGATTCTCATCATACTGAGCAGAGAGGTTGATGCTCCAGCGTAAAGCATATCTGAAATGCTGTGCCCCCGTTACCAGTCTGTAAAACTTGTGTTCAACTTTTGGGTTGAATTTTTCATCAGGAAGCCGCAAAAACTCGTCCATCAACACGCATTTGACTGCATCGTTGGTCTAGTGGTTGTAGTAAAGCGACTGCTGATCATATGATCCTGGGTTCGATTCCTGGGTCGGGCCAAAAAATGAATTATTGAGTTTTTCTGTCAAGAAATTCTTAGTAGCTGCCCGGAGTCAGGAAGTTGGCGGTGTCTCACCCCCGTGCCTCGGAAACACGTAAATCCGTTGGTCCTGCGCCTGATCTTTCTCCCGGTCGTTTCGGTTTACCGTCCCATCGGATTACGAGAGTGAGGGAATAGAGAGTGCACCTGTGCTTGCGCATACACTAGGGCACTATAATCCTGACCTGCGCCGATGGCTAGCCTCCGTTGAGGCTGGCCGCCGTGGCCGAAATTCGGTCTGGAGGACATTATTATTATTGTGGGGTATCTATACAGTTTTCTCATCTGGTTGGGTTCTATAAATATATAATTATAAATGAAAATGAAAAGATAAATATACATATATATCAATAACATAAAATAAATATAAAAATACATAAATAAATAAAAGCCCAACCAGATGGAGGCCCTCGGCAGGGGAGACCAAACGGCCGAGGGTTAGGGGGAAAGGCAAAGAAACCGGCGGACGATGCGGGCAGTATCGAGGAGCACCGCCTTCTGCATTTGAGCCCGGAGCGGTTCGCCACGTAGTCCCAGTCGCCTCAGATGACCCGAGAGGCTGACTGGGATTAGCCCGTTTGCAGAGACGACTACAGGAATAATTTCGGTCGGCAGACCACCCCACATGTCAGTCACCTCGTGAGCCAGGTCCAGATATTTTGTTTGCTTGTCTGTTTCGGCTTTCACGAGGTTCTCGTCATACGGAATGGTAATGTCGACCAAAAATATCCTTGACTGTGCCCGGTCCATCAGCACAATATCAGGCTTATTCGCAAGAATAGTCCTGTCTGTGATGATGGCCCGGTCCCAATAGAGCCTGGCGCGATCATTTTCGAGCACGGCTTCCGGCAAGTACTTGTAATACGGCAATTTCCGAACCACGAGACCGTATTTCAGAGCGAGCTCCTGGTGAAGAATTCTGGCTACTAGGTTGTGCCTGTGCAAGTACTTTAGAAAGAGTACCGAACAACCGGAGATGACATGCCTAAGTGACTCACCGGGATGGCGACAAGCTCGACAGATGTCCAAGGTGCCATCCTTTAGGATATATCTCCGATAGTTGTTGGTCTTAATAACCTGATCCTGTATTGCACAGACAAAACCCTCGGTTTCCCCGAAGAGATCACCAAAGCGTAGCCAGTGGAGGGAGGCTACTGTGTCTACGAAAGGCTCATGTAGAGCCTTGTAGAACCTCCCGTGGAGCTCCTTCTCCTTCCATACGTTCTCCCGGTCGGAAATTGTCTGCACTGCCGGGTCTTGCCATTGCTCGTTGGCTAAGGATAGAGGGGTAAGTCCTTTATCACTAGAAATGATGTCCTTATAGAATGGATCATCCGATCTCGCCAGGAAGTAATTACGGAGGCTGCACACTTCGCGATTATGCATGGTGAGCGCGCTCAAGAAGCCACGCCCACCATGCTTTCGCGGCAAGTACAGCCTCATTACCGACGATCTCGGATGATGCATCCTATGGGATGTCATGGTAGTGCGGACTTTTCTATCCAGGGCGTTAAGTTCAGTCTGAGTCCACCTGAGTATGCCAAAGGTATACATGAGGACAGGCATGACCCAGCCGTTATATGCGTGTGTCTTATTCACACCGGACAAAAGGCTGTTAAGCACTTTGGTCAAGCGTGCATAAAACACGTCGCAAACTGACTGTTTCATACCAGCCTCATCGATACCGATGTTCTGTGACATACCCAGGTATCGGTATGTTTCAGCCTCGGAAAGGGTCCTTAAGTTGACGGGCATAGATAAGTCTATGCCCTCAGAGTTAGCGATCCTCCTCCTTTCAACATGGAGGACCGCACACTTATCCGTTCCCAGCTCCATTCCAATAGAATTGCTAAATTCACAAGTGATGTTTAGCAATTCCATAAGATGGGAGCGACTGGAGGCGAATAACTTGAGGTCATCCATATAGAAAAGGTGGGTCACTTTTGTACCTCCTTTCCGAAGCTGAAATCCCCTCCCGGAGCCCTCCAGTAAAGTACTGAGAGGGTTCAGAGAGAGGCAAAACCAGATTGGACTCAGACAATCGCCCTGGAAGATACCCCTTCTTATCCTTATGTGGTTCTCCGCAGCCATCATCCGCTCGCCCAGATAGCAAAGGATCGTACTCCATTGCCCCATACACTGCTCGAGGAAGTCTCCAACTGTACAGTCAATTTTGTACAGCTGGAGGACTCTCTTTAGCCATGTATGGGGCACCGAGTCGAATGCCTTTCTGTAGTCTATCCAGGCGGCGGAGAAATTCCGACGGTTGCATTTCACCACTTTGCCAATGACCGCGTCAATGAGGAGTGGTTCCTTGGTTCCACGACCACCGCCCTGGCATCCATTTGGAGCGCGTGACATCACCTGATTTAGCTCCAGGTGACGAGTGATTCTCGCGCTCAAAATGGATGTCAGTGTCTAATATTTGATGGGTAGACACGTGATGGGGCGGTATTTGCTCGGGTCTGTGGTATCCTGATCTTTAGGAACCAAATGAGTGATCCCAGTAGTGAAGAGGCTCGGGAGCGACTTCTGATCGAGAGCCTCTTGAAACTGTCGGGCGAGCACAGCGTGACACACTACGAACCCCTTCAGCCAGTAATAATGCAGCCCGTCGAGCCCCGGACTTTTCCAGTTCGGGGCCCTACGGAACGCCTCAGCCACGTCTTCAGGCGTTATGGTGACGGGGTCCATAGGCGTAACACTTGCACTCTGGCTCGCCACAACTTCCATCCAAGGGCCCTCGCTGTGGTTTACGGGCTCTGACCACAGGCCACGCCAAAATGCGACAGTGTCAGCCTGATCCGGTCCTGGGCCCGCTCCACATACCTCTAGTCGCTCCAATGATTTGTAGAGCCTCTTCTGATCACTCTGGAAGAGACGATTCTGGTTGAACCACCTTGACCTCTCGCTAAATCGTCGAATCCGCTTCCCCCAAGCAGCGATTTTTTGCTTCAGGTCATCTATGCGCTCCGTTAGTTTTTGCGTGATATCCGGCTGGAACAAACTGATATTTGTCCCAGCAAACGCCCGATTTCGCTTGCTAAGAGGTATGCGAGGAAGTCGCGGTCGATTTTCGAGAGGCATGCTGCGCGTTTCCAGCATCGACTCTTCCAATATGCTCCTCATTTTCTCTAGTTCGTGGGAGACTATTCCATCATCGTCTGAATTAGCCACAAATGGAATGTTGACGGCAGCATCCACATATGCAGTTTGTTGCGCATCTAGTGGCGCCGCATTCCCAGCCGTAGCATTTCCATTCGATGAAGGAATAGCCTCACGTCGTAGTCGCTCGAGTTCGGCGTCACCAAATATGTTGGAGCGCAGGATGTACCTAACTCGGTCTGCCAGGTTTTGCTCAGTGACGGATAGAGATGGCTCCAGCTCTGCAAAAAAGCGATGCATCCGAGCCTGATACGCCAAACATCCAGTTTCTTCCCCTTTTGCCCTAAAATACGCTCGCAGTGCGTTTTTATTCATTGATTTAGACCAACGCATGCGACGTGCTCCACCAGCGGCGGGTGACGCTTGCTGAGTCCGAGAAGACCCAGCCGACACCAAGCCTTCTGGTGGGGATGATGGATGCGGGGGGCTGCTAGGTGGTCTTGCAACACCCCGCACTCGGCTGGTGGCCCGCATGCTGTCGCGTCCAGCGCCAGCTCCAGACGCGCCCTGGCGACCTCTAGGCAGCGGCCCTTTGCGCACTATCTTTTTTTCCATCATCCATAATATGAGCGTCCATTAACGGGAGTCGCCCAGGCCCGGCACCGCATCGTGGACGGCCATAAGCACAAACGGGCCTTTGCACCCTGAATTCTGCCGAGGCACGGCGCTCACACCTCTCGCAAGGCGCTGACTGACTGCGTTGACGTAGCAGTTTTGTCACTTAACTGTTACGTCAGCTATACTGTTATTATTATTATTATTATTATTATTATTATTATTATTAGTGCATTAGATGATGGTGGTACTCGGCAAAAAAATTAGTGTGTACCAACTTACACCTTTTTGTTTAAGGTAAAATAGACTTCGTTTTAATCTTATTATTTGTTTTAATCGTCAAACTTTTTAGGTGGATTGGTGACTATAGAGTCAAATCTAATCAGTTATCATATATATATAATCAAATATTTATTCAGTATCAGAGTATATACATAGCAGTGTTATGACTTATGAAAGAGGATTTCTTTTAAGTAAATGAAAACTTGTGTTAGAAATCCCTCCTCTCCGTAACATTGATTAACGAATACCAATGCGATACCTAGTTACTTCAATACTTCATCTAAAAGCATATTTGAATTTTTTTAAATTGTTCCAAAACGGACAGCCTTTATTTACTCTAAGTAAATAAAAATATCAGTCAGACAGTGAGTCAGACCGGACTTTTATTTTTTAATTTAAAATATTAATAATCTTATTAATTAACATTAGTAATATTCCTTTTAACCACTCCTAGCGTAAGCTTGTGTTAGGACTGGTTCACGACAGTAGTGGAATTGCGGATTCGCACCCACGACCATTTGATTTCGCGATCCGCGTTCTGCCGTTAGGCTACTGTCGCTTACTTTTGACACTGTAACTGATAATTATGTCGCAAATGATCCACATATCATAAGACTTCTCTTAGTAGACTCTTATAACACCTATGTGATTAAATTGTTATCTTAAAAGAATAAATTATTGGTGGTCTGTACTTCCAATCCTTTTTTTTGTCAATGCTCGTATGCATCTCTCCCTATTGTAATGTAAAATTAGTCTATGTTCGTTCCTCTGATGGGCGAAAATCTACCCTCACTTCTGAGAGGGTTATTGAGCGATTAGTTCGCCGCACTGCTCCAGTGCCTATTAGTGAACTTCACAAGTCCTCGAAATATTTTATTCCTCGGTCATTCAAGTTTCTACATGATGTTTTTCGTCACTGCCGAGCACGTAGTAAATTAGCACTTAAAATTGTAATTAACGACTTCGTTAGTGCTGGCAGAAATTGTACCCAGAATGCTCGCGTGCTGTATATTTATGAAGAGCGTTTAGCATCTGAGCTAGTTAGTTAATTAGTTTACGACGGGCTGTTTTCCGCAACTCCACGTCTAAGCATGTATTTTGCGTGTGGGCAGGAACATGTGGTTATTCGAGACATGATATTTCCCCGAAGAAGTTCAACAGTCCTTTTATGTTGCAAGCAACTTCTGGGAGCGATCCCGGTGTGCCGAGATGTTTAGCCCTGTATGAAGCGACTTCTGGACATGTCAGCAACACGTGAGCCGCCGTTTCTTCCTCTCCCATGCCCTGCACAGGGGGCTGTCAGTAACACCTATGGTGAACAAATGTTTGTTAAAAGAGCCATGTCATGTGATAGCACTTGTTACTATCCTGATCTGTGGCTTGGTCAGTCTCATTAGAACCTTGGTTAGACGACTGTTTATTTAAGGCAGGGCCTCCCTAGCTTGTCTACAGTCTACTAAATTTTTCCAAAGCTGAGCGTGTAAATTATTGAAGTATCTACGTACCAGTGAACGAACGTAGCCAAAGGGGATTGAAATCTTCCAAGAAATGCACACCACCTAACAGCATCATTATAAAGCCCTGTGTCCAGTGCTTAAAAAGCTGTTCGGTATTGCCCTGTTTGCACCGCACGCTCGTATAAATTTTATTTAAACTATACTCGTAAAAACGTTTAACCCGATTAGAACTTAAGTTACCTTTGATCAGAGCTTGACGTGTACTCCAATTGTAGTGACGCATAGCTTCCAGCGCCAAGAAGAGAGCTCTTATCCGGTAGAATTTCTTTACTGTCAACCTAATATTGAATGTTTTTTTATTAATTGCGGTCGTCGTTCGTTAAGCACAAAAGAATATAATATATTTTTAATATATTTCTAACACAATGTATTCTGTGCGGTAGTTTGGTTGGATGGTACTGTACTAAACTTACGGTACTAAACGGTTGTCCTGTAAGACCTCAGAGCAGAGTTATTTGTTAATGTTAGTTTAAATCCGTCTACTATGAAGCAGCTGAGTTTGGACTGAAAGTTCTTACTTCTTTAGTTTTACGAATTAAACATAGATATGTTAAGCCATAAGTCCTTAATCACTAAAAATAAGAGCTTAACTCCGTTTACTTATACAAAATCCTTGAACAGGTCACCCGGTAAACCGATGTTTACTGACTTTTATTTAATCTGGCAAACATTTTTGCAAACAAGTCGGCGACGTACGAGACATAGAAACCTATTTTTTTCCCTGTAGGTACTACGATACTACCTGTTAATATTTTAGAGCGCTAAATTTAAAACACATAAATAATATATTTTAAAAGTCAGTAATACAATTTATTTTTTCATCAAGATTAAATAAAACGCCCATTACGCGTGCCTTTGGATTTTCCAAATATTATAAAGTTACCGGAAGTTATTGATAACTGCTTAAACCAGCAGACACTCAACGACAAAAGTATTTCTTGATCCAATAGAACATAATATCATGACGTTTTAAACACAATCGAAGTTTTTATGTTTTCGACCTTCATATATACAATGTGTAAAAATTATTAAAAATATATTTCTAAGTTTACATAATATTATGCTGTTATGTGACCAAAGTTAATCAAATAAATTGGCAAAGTGCAAATATTTCATTTCATTAAGTATTTGAAACATTTAGAAGGAACTATGTAAATAAACTAACATTATTCTTCAAAGCACTAAGAGCTAAATGAATCTGCTAAATACAAAATGAACTCTATAATATAACTGATATGGAATTATATATTTGAGGACCAGGGACCCAAAAAGGATTTAATAATTTAAATTTCAGGAACAGCACCCTTAATTTGCCTCAGCCACAGCGACCTTTCACCACTACGTGGACTGTGCTCGATCTCATTTATATTTTAAACAAGGATATAAGAATAATTTGCAGCTTTTTGCGTTACAATGTATACTATAGTTATGTTAAATTTCCTTTTACATTTGTGATTTGAAAGTGTAGGTATCTGAAATTAACCGTCAGTCGAGTGAAATAAAAGTAAATATAACAATGTCTTACTTCAATGTGATTTGCGTAATCGGGGTCAGATGACAAACGCAGGGAGTGGAGAGTTCCTGCAAAATGCTTCGCCAGTTCTTGCTGCCGTTGTTTAGTCCAAATGGCCCCAATCACCCAAGCCATTTGCAATGCACCCGATTCCAATTTCTCCTAATCAATATACAACAATATAAACAACATATTTTTTGGAGAAAAAAGATGACAAATGAGTGGATGTTGTGGCTCATAGTCTATCTAAATTTATCATAAATTGAGAATCAAAATGCAGATGCGTTGTCACCCCAGAGTACTGAGATAATGAATCATGATGAAAGATGGAACTCGAATGGACTCGTTTGCAGTAAAAAAGGGTCTCCGGTTTTCTACGCTCACCATACGAAACACAGCAGCGTTAAGCTGCTATTTTACGCTGGTATTCTGTGAGAGCTTGATCATTCCCTGGTCGAGCCGACATATTCGTGCTACAACCAGAATATAGCAGCGTGGCTATACCACGTTAAGATAGTATAGTGCTATCACACTCGCTGAGTGTTTAATTGAAATAACATTGTGTAAGAAACAAAATTTGAAAATATAGGGGTACAATTGTATATTTACTTCTTTAGACAAAACAATGTAAATTATAAAAATCAAAATACCTCATAGACAGATTTAGATCTCTCTAGCTCCTTAAGTATTCTTTCCAAAACTTGTTTTGTTACTTTTTCTTCATCCGTTAACTCTTTCCTCGAATCTACGAGTATTTTATTTTAATTTAATACAAATACCGTTTTTTATATTAAATAAATTTATATATAAAACAATTGATTTAACTAACGCAAAATTTATATCATAAATTCAGGAGAATCACTTATACAATATTGGTTGTTAATCAATTTAGTAATTATAGATCTAATCCTCTTTGATAAATTTATTTATTATTGTTAAATATATTTGCCATCATTAGATTTAACATGGCTCACTGCTAAAATAGTTGGAAACAATCATCATTCATCCATTGCAGTCTATAAAATTCTCCTGTTGAAAATAAGCCACTCCCATAGATTGCCTCATCTTGCCGGATTTTACCATAGTTGCCACGCTTGGCATGCGAGTTGGCAATCGCAGTTTTTTAAGACAGGAAGATGCCGCTGCCCATCTCCAGTTTCATTTTCTCTTTGTAGCCTCATTCGACAACCACCAATCGATGTGGGATATTAGTGAATATTCTTACACCGCCACCGCACGGCAAGGGCATTAGTCCAGAATACAAGGTTATTTTGCAATAACCGCTCAAAACTGCATAGAAGGTTCAGAATAAGTAATAAGGCGAATGGTGAACAAAAATTAGTTAAAAGAAATCTCAAACATTATGTCTTAACTTAACTTTTAAATTAAAAATGCGTGGTAATTCATTATTTTGACTGATTTTACTGCGCACGCACACATTCATTATCAATCGGTAGGCAAAAACGGTGTTGCTCATAAATCACATGGAATAACTTAAAATAAAATTAGAAGCCTAATTTATCAATAACGGTATCCTATACCTTTAAACGAGCAATTCTTGTATATATATATATATATATATATATATATATATATATATATATATTTCTTGTATATACTTTCTGTGTACTAAATATCGGGAATTTGTCAATAAAACAAAAAATACAAATTATTCATCTAAATTTATTTTATCGCCTTCAAAGTAGGCCCCATCGCTTGCAATACAACATCTCCAACGCTTCACCCAGTCTTCCATACATTTTTCATAGGCTATTTGCGGTATGGCCTTTAGCTCATTCAGCGAATTTTTTGTTATGGCTTCTATCGACTCAAAACGTTTTCCTCGAAGTGGTAATTTTAACTTGGGAAATAAAAAAAGTCAGACGGAGCCATATCAGGTGAATACGGTGCTTGGTCGAGAACTTTTGTAAAAACTCTTTCACTATAATAAAGTCAGACGCAGTGTGGCTGTGTGTGATGGTGCATTATCATGGTGCAGCATCCATGAGTTGTGTTGCCACAAATCTGTACGTTTTCGGCGGATACTCTCACGCAAACGCTTCATGACGCCTAAATAATATTCTTTATTCACTGTTTCTCCCTTTGGAAGGAATTCGGAGTGAACCACATCACGGTAGTCAAAAAAAACTGTCAGCATCACCTTGATTTTGGAGCGACTTTGTCGCGGTTTTTTGGGTTTCGGCTCGTTTTCGAGACGCCACTCTGAAGACTGTTGGCTTGTTTGCATGTCGTACTCATAAACCCATGTCTCGTCGCCAGTTATTATACGTTTCATAAAGGTCGGATCCGTAGAAGCTCGGGAAACCATGTCTTCAGCGACATGCTTTCGCTGCGCTCTTTGAACAAAATTGAGCTCTTTTGGAACTAGTCGAGCGGCGACGCGTTTCATGCCTAAAATGTCAATGAGAATGTTGTGGACGGACTTAAAAGATATGTTCACCTCACTAGCCAACTCTCTCAGACTCATACGTCGATTTTCGAGCACTAGCTTCTTGATTTTGTCGATGTTTTCTTTGGTTGTAGCGGTTGAAGGTCTACCAGAACGAGGCAAGTCTACTACTACTTCTCGGCCTTCTTTAAAAGCCTTATACCATTCATAAGCCCTTGTTTTCGATATACACGATTCGCCGTAGGTATTTCGCAACATTTTTAGTGATTCACCACATGAAATATCATTCGAAATACAAAATTTAAGGTACACTCTTTGTTCAACAATATTTTCCATTGTAAAAATCGCCGAGAACTCAAAACTATGACCAACAAAAAGTGTAGTTTAAAACAAATTAAATGACAAATCCCGCTCAAACTTTGCGCGCTAAATCAGTACAGTGCTACCAACATGCAGTAAAAAAATTAGAACGACCTCTTTTATGCGGGTCTTTTTATTGACATATTCCCGATACTTTTTACACAGAGTAGTATATATATATATATATATATATATATATATATATATATATATATATATATATAATCGGAATCTCGGAAACGGCTCCAACGATTTTCATAAAATTTTGTGTGCAGGGAGTTTCGGGGGCAATAAATCGATCTAGCTAGGATTTATTTTTACAAAATGTCTTTTTGTCCGTGTTTTTAGGCAATGAAAAACTGCTACAATATCGTTAAATAAGAAGGTAACTTTTGACAGTTTAGCAATGATTACAATAGCTTAATTGGTATATTGGGCGGTCACAAAATCTTAATACCATGGTTCGAGCCCAGACCGACCGACAGACTTTTTTTAATTTTTTTTATCAAGTTCCTTTCTTTTTTTGAGAAAATCTATTTTCTCGAGCCATTTTGTAGTATTTTTTAAAAACACGAAAATTTAAATTAAACTAATTGCACTCATGATTTTTTATTCAAATAACCAGTTCAGTTTTTTCTATTGTCGCTAAGATCAAAAAATATTATTCGTATTTCATTATGTAATTTGTATCTAAATTTCCAAAACACACGAATTAAAAAAAACCGAGCGAAAAATACCGAGCAAAGCTCGGTCAACCGGGTACTATGAACTTAAGTTTAAAATTTGGCTACTCTTTTAAAACTTACGCTGTACGTTGCTTATTTGTTAGCACATCATCAACACCCGCTTACACAACATCAACATCAACAAGTCTTTTATTCAATAACATAATATAATATATTATTCCCATACCCATTCCCGTTTGCAGTTCCAAGGAAACAGTGGCTATACGTTGTTCTATATCATGTAGGCAGTCAGCCAAATCGAGTTGACTGTCTCTGAGTTCACATAGCTGGAAAAGAAATTAATTGTGCAACAAATCTAAATTAGCTAATGTAAATTAAACCAGATATATTTTAAAAATTTACGTTGCTCAAAGAATGGAGGTAAGACTAAAATTTTAGAGTAACGGGAGTAGTCCATCGATTTCCGCCGTCATCATTGATATTACCTGTTATTCGTAATTTTCAGTACAATGTTTAATGCACACATTAATAACAACACATTCTTAGAAATAAGTGGTCTGTACTAGGCCTGTGTCGATTGATCATTTCTTGTGACCTGGGTCGATCATAACCCACTCGTATGGTGATCGGGTTAATAAGATTCGATCGTTTCGATCATTTGGGTCGCAGCTCGTTTGTATACTATATATGACTAAATGAAAAATGCTGAACAGGTGCTATAATAGTAATAATACTACGATTTATTTATTGGTTGAATTGTATGGAAACGAGGGAGACAGAAGACATTTTGTTTATTACGTCTTTATGTGATTGATTGCACGATTCGATCGATTATATGTATGTAAACAATGCAAAAACGTAGAATTTGGTTTCTCTTGTCACCTTGAAATCGGGTCAAATAAGATCGAATCTTTTAGAGATCCATGATTTGATCACTTGTATACAGGTTGCAACCGAATCAAAAAGATTCGATCAATCGCGATCGACACAGGACTAGTCTGTACACTTAGCCAGCAGTATGACGAATGTAACATTCTTTAATTTAACAATATTTTTATAGTGTAAGAACGAGCACAAAGTTCACCCGATGATAAGTAGATGCTGTGACTTATACAGATCTACGACTACCCTCAGTTAAGAATTAAAATGCAGATGCATTGTCACCACTAAGGACTGAAATGGAATGTCTCGTCTCTAGTAAAACAGATCTCCGGTTCTCTACACTCACCATGCGAAACACAACAGCATAAAGCTGTTGTTTTACACTGGTGATCTATGAGATTGGGTTGTTGGCCAGTAGAGCCAACCCATGCATGCGACCATTATAATATAGCTACAGCATGACTCTACCACGGATAAAATTGTAATTAAATATTCATCACAGTAACCAAATTCAATTCTATCACCCTCAAACTAAAAGCACAATTAAATTTACAAAGTTAAGACTTTTTAAATTAATTAAAAGTTTGTGAAATACTGTAAATATTTACTTTTTCTGCATGTTTAATAGCAGCACCATGGTACAGCGCCAGAACACCATCGAGCAATCGCAGGTATGCCGATCTGATGTCGATAGCTCCAGCGCCTGGCATCAAGGACCTAGTGCCTTTTAGAGCTAACGCCGTCTCACCAGTGGTTCTGGAATGGAAACTGTAAATAGTCTTACCAATAAAGAATTTTTGACGAAGTTAAAAACCTATTTAAGAAGTAAATATAGTATAAAATATACAAACAATAATTGTCCCACAGCCTCTTGTAAATTTATGCTTGCCTAGTATTTACTATTCCTAAAATAAACTACTAAAGTACTACCTACTACTAACTACTGATGACTTCTCTGTACTACCGTAGGACTACCGAGAATTTTCTTCCACAGCGGTCTACCAAGTAAGGTCAATTTCGTAAGAAAATTCCCAGTTATGTTACTTGTAAGACTATTATAGGTTCTTGTATATTATAGATTCCCAGTAATGGTAATAATTCGTCACTTTTTAAAGCGAGTAACTGGGCGTTTTTTCAAGCAATCCAAAAAACGTTACGATTGGAAGTTTGTCTTTAATTTCTTTCTAAATTATTTTATGCCAAGATTCCAACGAACAAGTAAGACCATTAAGAAGAAAATTGCTCAGTATTCCAACCAGTAAGACTACTGTGAATACCCCAAGATATCGATTACGACTTAAGAGAATCTAGTACCTACATTTACCTCATATATGGAGCTCATATCATGCTGTGTCGTTATGTTCTATTGGTATATACAAGGTTATTTTGCAATACACGCCCAAATTTGCAGACGAGGTTCAGATAAGCGAATGGTGAAAAAAAATAAAAATATAAATTTCTTCGCAACCTTCCGCTAAATAAATACAATGATGTGTCTTACCTGAATTGAAGAGCTTAGCGGTCAGCCGCCGTAGAGTCTACATTACCCGTGGATGCCTCGTGTAGAGGCGAAACACGTGTCGTATTATCGTCGATGGTGTGTCTTACCTGGAATAGTGGTGTTGGGAGTAGTGGTGCTGGGACTAGTGGTGACGGAGTTAGTGCATGGATTTGAGGGAGAGCGGGAGGTGCCCTTCAATCCAGGTAAGGCACATCATTGTATTTATTTAGTGGAAGGTTGCGAAGAAATTTATATTTTTATTTTTTATTATAATGGATTTCCGCAAAGTAACGCCTGATTCTATCTATTAGTGAAAAAAAATAATTAAAAAAAAATTCCTCAAAATTCTGGCCATTTTATCTTTTAAATTTAGACTGCGTGGTAATGCTTTATTTTAACTCATTTTCATTTGTAAATATCTAATGCCTACTCTTTTACTACGCTCGCACAAATTTGTGAGGGTCGCTCGGTCGGCAAAAATGTTGTCAATTGAATCGCACAAAAAAATCTTATTCAATTTGGAATAACTTCAAATAAATGTCTCCTTTTTTATTTACTAGTATTTTCAAAAACTGCATTAATTGTATATGATTATTAATAAAATATAAAATTTAGATACTCTTTGTAAAATAACCCCGTATTTGTACATTCAGGATATCCCGTTGCATCTGTAATAAATGTAATGGTAAAATAACTTTCTTAACATAAAAACACCTGTTAGGTATTAGCGGCATAGCAGCATGCATAAATCTAGCCATTGATGATATCACCTGCGGCAGTGTTGCCAGCCCTGGTGATCCAGCTGCCATCTCACTTACACCTGTAAGCAATGATCTCCTTATATTTATTTGAAATATTGCAACTTTTTAATAAAATCACGTTTAATTAATGCTTAATAGAATATTCGTCTTTCGTTAAGACCAAAAATGAATTTCGGTTGGCTGCGAAAAATTTATATGTGCCATGTACAAAAAAATCCAGTTTAAAAAAAACATATTTCACAACAATTTTATTTGCAAAATTATACTTCATCTGAGTAAACCGCCAAAAGCAAAGTCAAGTTTTGGTGTAAGCAATTACGTGAAACCTTTTTATTCTTCTGTATATGCAAATAATCGTGTAGAAGCGGTATAAGAATATCCACCACCTCATATCGCGGCCCGTGGGGTTGGTAAGAAGCGACAGAGGAAACTGAAAACAGGAAATGGACAGCAACACATTCCTCATAACAGCTCAAAATAATGAAAGACTGCAGTTGAAAACTCATCTGCCAAGCGTGGCAGCTATGGCTAAATCCTTCCCATGAGTCAACCTATGGGGGAAGCCCAGGTTTAGTGGATTTTTATATGCTGTCATAGATGGATAGATTCAAATGCAAAGCATCTAAATAATTAAACATTTATATAAAAGAATGTGTGTGTGTGTGTGTGTGTGTGTGTGTGTGTGTGTGTGTGTGTGTGTGTGTGTGTGTATTTGTGTGGTGTATGTGTGTGTGTGTGTGTGTGTGTGTATGTGTGTGTGTGTGTGTGTGTGTGTGTGTGTGTGTGTGTGTGTGTGTGTGTGTGTGTGTGGGTGTGTATGTGTGTGTATGTATTTGTGTGCTCTCTGTGTGTGTGTGTGTGTGTGTGTATTTGTGTGTCTGTGTCTCTCTGTGTGTGTGTGTGTGTGTGTATTTGTGTGTCTGTGTCTCTGTGTGTGTGTGTGTGTGTGTGTGTGTGTGTGTGTGTATGTATTTGTGTGTCTGTGTGTGTGTGTGTGTGAGCGCGCGCGCGCGTGTGTGTGTGTGTGTGTGTGTGTGTGTGTGTGTGTGTGTGTGTGTGTGTGTGTGTGTGTGTGTGTTTGTGTGTATATTTTTCTATTTTAATGGAGTAGGTTTATATTTATAAAGTATAGTCTTCATGAAAGGTACAAATCATAGAATACTATAATACACAATAGAATAGCTGTCAACCTTATTTTATACGACGATAGGCGTCGCCGGGAGCACACATACAAGCAATAACGTCGTATTATCACTACAACAAACCTGATAAATAGCGTGCAATTTGGCATTTTCTAAATAATTTGCATGGGAAATTTGGAAACGATCTTAACGTCAAAATACATCTCGTATTGACGTTTATACGTGTGAATTTATGTGTTAGTGACATGTTAGTGGCTACACGAGCTCCGGCCACTCCCCCGTTCTATTATGTATGCATCATAGTATTCCATGGTATAAATATTATCTATTTAGTTCAGTAATATCATATTATATTTATAGAAGAAGACACCATTCACGAGTCTCTACCTGGAACCACGTAACACAAACCTTACCCCTACATATGTACCTACGTCATAATTACTGTATATGTCTCCTTCAGATCAATAAAGAGTGGAGTTGTAAACTGCATCAGTGAGTTTAATTTCTTGCATTGTCCCAACATTACATGAGAGATTACATTTATAAACTAAATAAAATTGAAAAAAAGATTTTTTTTATTATTGATTTTATTTTCGTTTTTTTTCTCAAGCGTGCTAAAATAAAAAACGTTGTTGAACACATCCTTTTTTTATAGAACAAGGGTGACAAACGAGCGCACAGTCCACATAATAATAAGTGGATGCTGTGGCCCATAGACAACTACATCTATCGATTAAGAATCAAAATACAGATGCGTTGTCACCCGTGAGGACTAAGATGGAATGCCTCGTTTCCAGTAAAAAAGGTTCTCCGGATCTCTACACTCACCGTACGAAACAGCAGTGTTAAGCAGCTATTTTACTCTCGTATTTTGTGAGAGCGTGGTCCTTCCCCGGTCGAGCCGACCCATTCGTGCTACAACTATTCTACTAATATCTATGATATTAACTAGCAGAACAACGTCTGCTGGATTCAACTAGTTACATTATATACAAAAACTAACAAAGTACCTTGTCCACTTGCCGCTCATTCATTACAGCCTGTGAAACGTCCACTACATAGGCTTCTCCAATCCATTTACCATAGTTACCACGCTTGCAAAACGAGTTGGCAGCCACATTTATTTCGAGGTACGTGAGGGTAATATGGTCATCCGGTTAATATGGTCACTTTCTTATAACTAAAAACTACAGCCTTGATTGCATAGATAGCTCTGTGATCCAATAGCTTTTCATCTTCATATACGCTATTATAACAAAGTCCCAGAAAATATACAAGGTCTATCTATTACCAAGTTTAAATATTTGATTAAACAAAAACTGTATAAAAAGGGTTATTATGATAAAAATGAATACATGGTTGATAATAACCCCTGGGAATGAGGTGGTCGCTTTCAAGCTATTTCTAAAATAAATTTTGTAAATATTTTGTAATCCTTGACATTGTAAAATTTATTTTTAAAAATGTCCTCTGGGGTTTCTTGCTGTTTCTTCCCAGGACAGAGGTTTTTTTTCGAACCAGTGGTAACGTAAAATATTGACTTTCAATAAGAATTACTTGTAATCTATATTGAATAAAAAATTGTTCTATTCTATTCTATTCATCAGTCAATCAAGTAATAAAGGGTCAAAAGAGTGCTGCTATATCGACACCATTTTGACAGTTGACATTATAATGTCGCATCTTTGACGTTTATTGTATATAATAAATATTTTAGTCGATTTTAGTGTAGTGTAAAGTAGTTAGTTTCTTTTTAAGTTGATTTTTCAAAGTGTTCCTAATTATTACCAAAGCTTGTTTGCTATTTATTTCTCAATATAATATTTATAGTATAAGACTTTTTCAAACACAAGATTTTGTCTCTGTCCTCCTCCTATTTTTGGCTTTAAAGGGCGGCTAAGACGAAGGCTAAGGTGACCATATTACCTTCATGTACCTTAGTTAAGGAAAATGCTGCATCCTTTCACATTTTTGTATTTTTTGTTAATGATATGCTAATCATTAAAACGTTATTAGATGTTTGCTTCAAGAATACAAAGTCTGGCTGGTAGAAAATGCCGTATGGCATTAAGTCCGCCGTTTGTACCTTTAGTACAATAAAGTGTAAAAATAAATAAATAAATAAAGTCGTATACCAGCATCGATCCCTCCGGCTCGGTTGTAATTCGGCTCGAAACTTTGTATGAACGGATTATCCTCACCTAAGACGTCGACGAGGTCATTTCTGCAAACAATGGATATCAAAATCGCTGTATTGCCAACGTTGTTTCGTTCATTTTGTGAAATTCATCGAGTATTTTAATTGGTATCGTAATCTAAAAGCTTTAATTAATATAATATGTAATATATGGTACCCTTCCATCTTAGTTCTCACGGGTGACAACACATCTGCATTTTGATTCGTGATCGAGTATAAATGTAGATGCATATGGGCCGCAGCAACCACTTACCATCAGGTGGACTGTGTGGCTGTGACAACTAAGATGGAACGACGCGTTTCCAAGAAATGTCTCCGGATCTCTACTCTATACTACACTCTACGAAATACAGCAGCGTTAAGCTTAAAAAAAGCTTTTTAGCACACTACAACTATAACTAAGCATGGCTCTACTACGTAAAAATTTGAAATCAGTTGGACTGTTATTGCTTATTTTTCACTAAAATATTAACTACTACACAATTTTATATACTTTTCATAACATGAGACCAATGAAAAAGTTAACAACGATTTTACTATAAGTATAAACAAAAAAATATTAAATGGAAATTTGATATAAAATGTTTAAAAAACTTTCTAAGCAAATAAGAAACATACGAACACATAATATGCACGATTTTTTTCTTGTGACATTGACGTAGCTCAGTCAGAACCTGTGTATGATTTTTATTCAAAGCTAATAGTGTATTAAAACACCTATTATGATTTTTATTCAAAGCTAATAAAATATTAAAGTTCCTATTATGATTTTTATTCAAAGCTAATAAAGTACCTAATATGATTTTTATTTAAAGGTTATAAAGTATTAAAGTACCTATTACGATTTTTATTTAAAGCTAAAAAGGTTTCAAGGAGAGTAAAAAAGTATGAATAATGTACAACAAAAATATCTTAATCGTGATATTCAAACTTAATCCATCAGCACATTTCGCCCAGTAGTATGTCAAAAATAAATTATGGCTCCCGATAGATAGATAGCCGCCAGGTGTAAAATACCCAGAACACCGACGGCAATAAACGTTAACAATGCGAATTCCAGCCGTACAATTTCACCATCGCACATCGCGACAAAACTCGCAATACCATCGATACCATCTGGATTCTGGACTGGCGGTCCACCACCGTGCGATTTAAAAGAAGTTTTCTTCCTCGCACAACTTCCTTGTGGAATCGACTACCACCAGAGATTTCCGGACCGTAACGACTTAGGGACCTTCAAGGAAAGAGTCTACTCCTTTTAAAAGGCTGACAATGCATCTGCTATTCTCCTGGTGTTGCAGTTATTCTTGGGCTGCGGTAACCATCAGGTGAGCCGTATGCTCGTTTACCCCCTCTGCTATTAAAAAAATGCGAGATGTCTTGTGCTGATTTTTTTTTGTCAATTCGACTGCCAAGCCTACTACAACAGAAGAGGGCCTTGCATTGTTATTCGAATTTGAGCTATACTTAAAAATTCATGTTTCCAGCTCATCGGAAAATTATTTTAAAATCAATCACTGAATTTAAAGCAGAACGACAGACAAGTAAAAAAGTGACTTAATTAACCGTGATAAGATTAGAAATTATTTGTGTTCACTTTTTTCGTTTACCTAAGAGTCCTCACCAAGAAAGGTAGAACACCACCAAGTCGGTCAACATTATAAAAGTCCAGTTCACCATCGATAAACGTTTTGGGTGGTAAATGCGGTGGTGCATTCCTAAAAAAATTATAGCAATGCATGATAAAAGATCGAGATACAATAATAACAAAATAATCGTACAATGTTAATTTTTCTCAAACATTAGCTTTGATCCAATACTTTGCAAGTTGTTTAAGTAGATTTAATAAGATTTTGTTTTTTTATTACGGGTGACAAACGAGTACACAATCCGCCACATTAGACGGATTGCGTATATTCCATTACCATTGTAATGGAATATTGTGGCACATAGACACCTAGCTCAGATTGCTGTGTGCGAGCGACTCAGGTTCGATCCCCGCCGGCACCAATGTTATTGTTAGTTGCAATTTTAAGTGCTGATTTACCACGTGCTCGGCGGTGAAGGAAAATATCGTGAGGAAACCTGCATGTCTGAGAAATGAGAAAGATAAAATTTCGAAGACATGTAAAGTTCGCCAACACGCATTAAGGCAGTGCGGCGAACACTTCCTTGCCCTTAAATCCTCACAGAAATGAGAGGTGGCCTTTGCCCAGCAGTGGAACGTAATCAAGCTAAAATGTTAACTTTTTAACTACAGACACCTAAATCTATTTTCGATTAAGAATCAAAATGTCGTAAAATAGTAATGCTTGCTATTTGGAACTTCTGTGTATCGGTACAAAGGGTATAGAGACTCAATATAATTACAGGCTATGACGTAAGGTACGTGAGGATAATATGGTCATCTTAAGCTTTGCCGCCCTATAAAACCAAAACTAGGAGGAGGACAAAGACAAGAACACAAAGTCGTATAGTATAGCTAATGTATTAAGCAAAAACAGCAAACAAGCTTTGGCTTCTAATTAGGAACACTTCGAAAAATCAACATAAAAAAATTAATTACACTACACAACCCTAAAATCTAATAAAATATTTACCATACTATCAACGGCCAAAATGGCGTTGATAAAGCAGCGCCCTTTTGACTCGTTATTATTTAATTGAGTGATGAAGAGCTATCATATCACAGAGCTATCTATGCAAACACGGCTGTAATTTTTACATACATCGGATGACCATATTACCCTCACGTATGTAATTTTAGTCCTCAGAGATAACAAAGCATCTGTTACTTTCTTGTTTGAATTTGGCTGCAGGTGTCCCAAGTGGCCACTTAAGCGTAGACTGTAAGCTCGATTGTCATTTCAGCTTGATTAAAAAATATATTATCACAGTGTTCAGTATCACAAACGTTAACAATTATGACTAATGCTATCATTATCACCATCAGTTTAAGGTACACTGCTGGGCAAGAGCCTCCTCCATTCGTTTACAGTATGGGTCATTGCACATTGATATTGCTTTTTGTGCCCATATCAGATACGTATCTGGTAGAGCCATGCTGCAGTTATATTAATATAGTTATATCACGAATGGGTCGATTCGACCGGGGAAGGACTACGTCCTCACAGGATACCAGCGTAAAATAGTAGCTTAATACTGCTGTGTTTTGTATTGTGAGTGTAGAAAACCAGAGATCCTTTTTACTCGAAACGAGGCATTCCTTCTTAATCCTCACGAGTGGCCACGCATCTGAGTTTTGATTCGTAATCGAGAATAGATGCAGATCTATGCGCCACAGCAACCACTTACCATCAGGTGAACAGTGTGCTCGTTTGTCACCCTATCCTATGAAAAAATACATTTAATATTAAATACGCAATTCTTACACCTAGGCTTCTATTTAACAAGGCTAGATGTTTCGAATATTTCTCTAAGTTGCCGATTTCAACACCCATAGAATGTGAGAGTGATGAATTTTCTGATCCGAATTATAATAAATTATCATCTTCGTCATTACTTTCATAAACCCTATATTTTTGACCCTATTTACTTTCACGATACTGTGACACCTGCATCCATTGAGTTGCTGTCTAACTAATTCGTCACTCTATCTAGTGGGGATCGCTCTATAGTCTACACTTCGCTTACCGGTACGAGGCGTTCATTCAAGAAACCTACCACCCATTGGTCCTTCTTGATAATGAATAGTGGTATCATCAACTGCACAGGGGATCTATAAGTGACCAAGTACTCCCACCTTAACCTACCGTTATCAAATGTAGCATATAATAAAATCGGACATAGTCACAATGAAACCCGATCCTTCCACCGTTTGGTGTTTTCGAAAAAATGTTGTTTCCAGCGGGATTCAAACATAGAACCTATTCGCCAAATATGGTAGCTACTAACTAAATCAATCATTAAATTGTAAAAGTAAAATGCAAATTAAATTAACAAAATTATAGCATACATTTGCAGATACGTACAAATTTCCGAGTGGATTTTCCATATCCCATAACTTCAGTACAGCAGTAAGGAGTCTTGCATGGCAACACCACGAAATGGCGGGTGAGTTGCGCGAGATATTAAAAAGTCGCTATAATGTAAAAAAAAACATATTAAAGAAACTTAAAGCTAATAGTTTGTACTTAAAGCCAAAAACTTTAATGAGAAAGATGGTGTTTTAATATAATAATTATTCTAACATAGTATATTATAGTTGCAGCTATATTATAGTTGCAGTAATAGAACGGGGAAGTAGGCGGAGCCCGTGAAGCCACTAAAATGTCACTAACATGTCAATTCACACGTATAACTGTCAACACGAGATGTGTTTTGACGTTATTACAATCGTTTCCAAATTTTGCATGCAAATTATTTGGAAAATGTTTATTTAATCCAAATTACACACTATTTACAAATAAATATGTATTAAAATTTAAACGTTTTTTTTAAATGGTGATCTTGAACCTTAATCAAAAGTCTAAAATGTTTAAATTTACTCTGTCTGTCAACACAGCGAATCGGGTTTGTAGTAGTGATAATAAGACGTAATTGCTTATATGTGTGCTACCGGCGACGCCGACTCTCGTACAAAATAAGGTTGACAGCCATTCTACAGCACGTCGCGCTTTGAATACCAGATACTGTAGTATAATTATGTTTCGTATAGCAACTCTAGAGAACTGGAAACCCTTTTTAGGCCGGTCAAACTAACAATTTTCGTTTAAGATTGAAAGCCAGAAACGTTGACGGCCTCACTACTAGGCCACGTATAACTAACGTTGCTACAGCGTCCTCCAATAGTGGATTAAAAGACTTGTGCAAAACACGTTATGTAACGTATCATTTCATCATCAGACTGAAAAAGTCTACCGCTTAACGTGCACTCTTGCCTCTGCCATTGAAAGCCTTAATCGTCACGCTTGGTAGGTGGATTGATGATCACACGACTGGCACTTAACACTACTCCCCATCACCGGTCTGGGTATTTTACATCTGGCGTAAACAACATGGTTATACCGCCATCTACCAAAAGCCATAAGGATTTTCTGGCTATTCCCATAGTCACCACCTACGTAGTCCACGAGACGAGATGTGGCATTTTATTACGACGCCACAACACTGTCCCGCATATGAACCATACGCCAGGGTGTTATTGCGTACGAATGGGCCGGCTCGACGAACGATTAGCTACGCTCGCACAACATACAAACGTTGCGGCATAATACTGCTGTGCTTCGTGTAATAAATGACGTGAGACGTTGACGTTTAAAACGATTTTTTTTAGATACATGTAACATAATAATAATAATGTCTTTATTTCTGCTTAGAAAATATGACTACATGTTACAATAAATAATTCTACAAGTATAAAGGACATATTATTTTTAAATTTATTCACAGTCGTTTATGTGAGGAGCTGTGTCTATTATATGTATAGTACCTATATTACAGATCAACAGGATCCTCATGCCACAGAAATAGGTATAACATAGTAAAGGCTTAATTAAAAGCACGTATGATTAGCGTGTGCGTGTGCTTGTGCGTGTGCGTGTGCATGTGCGTGTGCGTGTGCGTGTGCGTGTGCGTGTGCGTGTGCGTGTGCGTGTGCGTGTGCGTGTGCGTGTGCGTGTGCGTGTGCGTGTGCGTGTGCGTGTGCGTGTGCGTGTGCGTGTGCGTGTGCGTGTGCGTGTGCGTGTGCGTGTGCGTGTGCGTGTGCGTGTGCGTGTGCGTGTGCGTGTGCGTGTGCGTGTGCGTGTGCGTGTGCGTGTGCGTGTGCGTGTGCGTGTGCGTGTGCGTGTGCGTGTGCGTGTGCGTGTGCGTGTGCGTGTGCGTGTGCGTGTGCGTGTGCGTGTGCGTGTGCGTGTGCGTGTGCGTGTGCGTGTGCGTGTGCGTGTGCGTGTTCGTGTGCGTGTGCGTGTGCGTGTGCGTGTGCGTGTGCGTGTGCGTGTGCGTGTGCGTGTGCGTGTGCGTGTGCGTGTGCGTGTGCGTGTGCGTGTGCGTGTGCGTGTGCGTGTGCGTGTGCGTGTGCGTGTGCGTGTGCGCGTGCGTGTGCGTATGCGAGTGCGTGTGCGTGTGCGGGTGCGCGTGCGCGTGTCCGTGCGCGTGTGCGCGTGCGTGCGCGCGTGCGTGCATGCGTGGGTTCGTGCGTGCGTGCGTGCGTGCGTGCGTGCGTGCGCTCGTGCGTGCGTGCGTGCATGCGTGCGTGAGTGCGTGCGTGCTGCGTGCGCGCGTGCGTGCGTGCGTGCGTGCGTGCGTGCGTGCGTGCGTGCGTGCGTGCGTGCGTGCGTGCGTGCGTGCGTGCGTGCGTGCGTGCGTGCGTGCGTGCGTGCGTGCGTGCGTGCGTGCGTGCGTGCGTGCGTGCGTGCGTGCGTGTGTGTGTGTGTGTGTGTGTGTGTGTGTGTGTGTGTGTGTGTTCATCTATTTTTCTATTTCGGATGATACCCATTAATGAAATTTTAATTTTAAATTTAATAAACACGTAATAAAAATTGTTCTTACCATGTCTAAAATACAGTTATCCATAATGTATCTTCTAAACTTTTCCAAGAAAATTTTTCTTGTCGACGGTACAACGTTGGAGCCATCCGAATTATCCAACAAAATCAGAAGAAACTCCAACTAGAAATAGTTTGGCCGATGATTTTAGGAGATGGTGGTAAATTGGTACATTCAACAGAGATGTTCCTCCAAATAGAAACCTTACCTACACGCACAAAACCTCAAAACCTACCTGTAGAGACCCAAATACTTCTTATTAATTCCTTAATATTACTCGATGTTTTGAAATACAAAATAAGTAATGTTAAACACAAAATATAATCTTATAGCAATGTAGGTATCTGAAAAAAGAGGTTGAAAGTGACACTGATATTAACACCAGCGAAGAAATATAATAAGACGCCATTAAAATATTCTTGGACTAACTTTATTATTTCTTGTGAAAAGGTAAATATATAACCACATGCTTGCTATTCTTAGAATTGCAAATGGTAAATCGTAAAGTTGATTTATTTTAGAATAAATGGCGATTTATTTTAAAACAGACCAACAGTAGACCGAGACTAACTTTCGAAGACCATGTGAGCAAATTGCTCGAAGAGGGGAGGGTCAAGAGTACTCGGATACCTAGATGTGTGTGAAGAAGTTAATGAACCTGAAAGAAGCGAAAGAGGTATGTAAGGATCGTGACACTTGGCGATCTGTTCTCTCTGGCTACCCTATAATCTCTGGCTCTAAGATAAGATAAGATATTTTAGAACGACACGACACCGCGAATAAATGCACCTCCTTTTATCGAATAGTATTAGAATGACACCCCTAACAAAACTGCAATTTTGATATAGGTAAATTCATGTCTTTATCTTGAATTCGCTTGTTCAAAAACACGGGTGTATAATTTTGACTCGATCTTGACCTATTTGCGAAAACATCTCTAAAAATCACTATAGTTGAAATTACAACGAAATTACTTAATCTACATGCTTGGGAATCCACTCAAATATATTAATAACATCAATATTCGTAATTTTACTTGTTCATTATTTTGATTATTTAAATCAATATTTTTTTAATATTTTAAAATATTTATATTAGTAGTATAGTTGTAGCACGAATGGGTCGGCTCGACCGGGGTAAATAGTAGCTTAATGCTGCTGTATTTCGTATGGTGAGTGTAGAGAACCGGGGACCCGTTTTACTGGAAACGAGGCATTCCATCTTAGACTTATCATTACGGGTGACAATGCATTTGCATTTTGATTTCTAATCGAGGATAGATGTAGATGTCTATGGGCCGCAGCAACCACTTACCATCAGGTGGACTGTGTGCTCGTTTGTCACCCTATTCTACAAAAAAAAATCTTAGCGGTCTTAATCGTCGCAGGCGCTACGCAATTTAAGACGAAGACGATTTTATAGAAATAATGTATTCACTCGGATATCCGGCGATAGCCCGGAGCCATTTTTAAACGTTCGTTTTCGATGTGTCGTCTTAAGTACAAATATTTAATCTTGTTTGGTTGAACCCACCCTAATACCATACCATACTAGATGGTAGGACTCTTTCTGTCTAGCAGACCGTCTCGTTACCTCTTACATATGTTTGCCACCAATAACAGTGCCTGCATCGCTGCATTCCGGTCAATTACAGGCTCTGAGACATTCCATCTTAGGCCTCAGAGATGACATCTGCAGTCTTCTTTGCTTAAAGTTGACTGTAGGCGTTGAATGAACTACAGTAGCCACTTACCATCGGGTAGATTGTAAGTTTGTGTGTCGAATCAATTTAAAAAAAAATGTTTACTTTTTAATTACGTATAAAATCAATACCTGAATATTTTCTAACGGTGCTATGGCTTTAGTTATCTTTTCACAATCATCTTTATACTGTTTTTCTAAAGAAATATCGCTCTGTGTCAAAGGTATGTCTGTTTTATCTGCAAAAAGGTATCGAAAAGCTTCACATTTTGAGCAGAAAAAATAATAGGTAACAATTTAAGTTGTTTTCATACAAATCAATCAAATTGAAATATCTTTTTGTACTGTAAAAATAACAGCTTTTTAATAAATGCAAATTAAAGTATATACGGTACTTATAATTTTTTTTTGTCTGTCGGTCTGTTTGTTCAGGCTGATCTCCGAAATTACCGGACAGATTTTGACATGACTTTCACTGGCAGAGAGCCGATATTATTAGGAGTGATATACGCCACTTTTTTGTTTTTTTAGAGATCCGAGTAAAAACAAAATTATGGAATTCAATCATAACAAATTTCACGCGGGAAAATTCGCGGGGAACTGCTCGTTATAGAATAAGGATGACAAACGAGCACATCGTCCATTGAGAATCAAAAAGGAGAATGCGTTGTCTAAGAAATAAATGCCTCGTTTCCAGTAAAAAGGAATACGCCTGAGCCGTGAAATAAACCTCTTAAGAATTACGCGGACATAGTCACGAAACTAATTTCATTCATTTAATTTCATCAATTAACAAATCATTCAATAACTCCAATCACCAGAAAATACCGTCGAGGATATAAACACTATGAAATAGGTGCTATTCAAACGATAGCAACTAAGAAAATATATCTTGGAATATTAGAGTTCCAAGATATGTATGATTAGTTCTACGTTGAAGCACGAATGTGTCGGCTCGACCGAGGAAGGACCACGCTCTCACAGAATACCAGCGTAAAATAACCGCTTAATTTTGCTGTGTTTTGTATGATGAGTGTACAGAGCCGGAGACCCGTATTACTGGAATCGAGGCCTTCCATTTTAGTCCTCACGGGTGATAACGCATCTAAATTTTGATTCTTAATCGAGGTTAAATGTGAATGTCTATGGGCCACAGCATCCACTTACCATCAGGTGGACTTAGTGCTCCTTCGTCAACCTTATTATATAAAAATGGGTTCTTCTGTATTTATCCGTAACAATTCATAGCTCAGCCTTGTAGTGGTGGTGTAAGAGTAACCTCTACCACATATCATCCCGTGGGTGCCGTAAGAGGCCACAGAGGGAAACAAATCAGGAGATGGGCAGCAGCGGCTAAAATTAAAAAAAAACTGTGGTTGCCAACCCGCTTGCCAAGCGTGGCAACTATGGCAAATATCCCCTTATGAGGCAATCTATAAGGGAGGCCTATATGCAGCAGTGGACTTTAATAGGCTGTAACAGAACGCAACGGTATCCACAGGTGGACATGGGCCCCATTGAATCCCTCATCGGGATTGATTTACCTAAATCGTGGCGCTTGCGGATATTTGGCTACTGCAGTTCCAGGTGTATCGCACCGCTGACGTTGCCCTTCAACGTCGCCCTTGATATTTATATATATTTTACACCTGACATATACGAGGTGGTAGATCTGTGAAAGGCTATTAGGCTATTCTGGCCTTTCTCATAGTGGCCATATACATTACCCAAAGAGCGGTAAGGCATAGCGGATTTTCGTACGTTGTCTGTGTTGGGTGTGTGTAAATTTATTATAAAACAATAATAAACAGAAAACACACTCTCACGCCTACCACCCAGATGGCTTGCCAGAGACCGTAGTATCTAGTCTACATATGTCACGATCCTGATGCCCATCTCTCGCCTCCTTCACATCCATACATACATATTCATCGATTAAACGTATACTTAATGTAACCTCTCTTCAATATATCGCTACTTTGGTTGATAAACTTTCGTCTAGGGCTAGGGCACTTGCCGACGCTAACACTAACTTCTGCACTTATTTTCTGCATATATTTACTTACTCACTCTTTCCACTTGTATCAAACCATTGAAGCAATCCTTCTTAATCCCGGTTACAACATATTCTTGTAAACCAGACTTTCATACTTATCATACATATAGTCGCTTGTAGAGTTGTCACGTGTTGTATTGATTTAAAAAAAATCTCTTGATAACATTGAAGTAATATGTACTTAAACGTACTAGAACAGCTAACTCAAACAAAAAATGTGCGCTACTCTGTGTTCCCGCGGTTGTTTTTTTTATCATAGAATAAACATAGGTAGAATGACCCGTAGGTAATAGTAGATGTATTGTTAAATAGGTAAATTATATCGAGAACAATATTTAAATTTTGTCATTTATTTTGTATATTATATTTGCTTATTTAATATAATATTACATGGTATTATATCACAATTACATTTTAATGATATTCTTATCTGAATATTTTAAAAGGTATCTTAGTCAAATATAAAAAACATACTAAATGTATGTTTAACATAACATTTAAATTACAAATATATTTATTTAATGTTTTAGAATATAATTCGTTCATAAATGCTGAGCACGCGAGAGTTAAAAATGGACGAATTTATACCACTTTGACTTTGATGTGGAAACCTAAAAATAAAATAAAAGAATAATAAGCAGATTTAAATATGAAAAATTTTGCCAAATTATAATAACCTATATATGTTTCTACAAAAAAGTTATATATATGTGTATAATAAATATATTTCTCCTATACTTAAGTATCCACAGAAATGTCGCATCTGAACATATTAATTTCATAATCTATATTCCCTGACACGAGATGGCGTTATTAGGAATAATTTGTTTTATTATTAATACGTAATACCTTTTTTATTCATTAAGTATCTTATTAACAGATGAAAAGTAATTCCTTGTTTATTACTGATATTTCTTGAATTATTTGTGCAATATCTAAGTACACACGATTTTAATTTTTTTTAAATCAACACAATACGTGACAACTCTACAAGCGCTTAGCGAGTGACTGATTAAAGTGCGGTGTATGCACCGCAGTTGAGTGGAACAGAGTAGCTGAATGCAGTGTCGCCTCTAGTACGTAGTACATAATAGCTCAATGCTTGATAAAAATATGCCGTAGTGTGTACTTCGATATTGCACAAATAATTCAAGAAATGTCAGTAAAAACCAAGGAATTACTTTTCATCGGTTAATAAGTAAAGTGTTAAAGATTAATAATAAAACAAATTATTCCTAAGACGCCATCTCGTGTCATGGAATATAGATTATAAAATTAATTTGTTCAGCTGCGTCATTACTGTGGGTACTTAAGGGTAGAATATATTATTATACACATTTTTTTTTTGTAGAAACATGTATAAGTTATTATAATTAGGCTAAATTTTTCATGTTTAAATCTACTTATTATTCTTTTATTTTACGTACGTTTTTTATATGTGACGTAGATATTAGATACCTTTTAAATTATTGAGATAAAAATATCATTAAAATGTAATTGTGATATAATACCATGTAATATTATATTAAATAAGCAAATATAATATACAAAATAAATGTCAAAATTTAAATATTGTTCTCGATACGTAATTTACCTATTTAACAATAAAATCTACTATTACCTACGGATCATTCTATCTATGTTTATTCTATGATAAAAAAACAACCGCGCGAACACAGAGTAGCGCACATTTTATGTTTGAGTTAGCTGTTCTAGTACGTAAGTACATATTACTTCAATGGTCACACCTAACATTCTTCTTAATGACCGCTGGTACCTCTTACGAATATACTGGCCGAAAAAAAACAGCAGGCTAAAAAAACACGTCATAAAAAAACAAAAACAAATAAGGATCGACTGAAGCTATTGGTTGTGTTGTAAACCCACATTATAATTTTTATTATCGTTTTAAAATGAAACAAATTCCATTCTAAAACATAAAATTTGGTAAAACAACTCTATATTTTTGATAATATATGCTCATCCCATAGACTTATGTTTTACTGAAATTCTAACAATTACATTTCTACAGCATTAGTTCTACTCTCTTGATTCTTCTGCCACACCCAACTTTCACTGCCATACATTAAGGTAGGGACGAACATAGCATTGTCGATTGCCCTACGTGTCCTACAAGGAGAAATTTTATATTTTAAGTGGTTACAAATACATACCAACGCTATTTGTAACGGCATCAGGATATTCTACAGTCTTAGGCTCAGTAACGTCAGCTAAAAGCATACAATAATAATAGCATTATAGCATTATTATTGTCAATAAATTTGAAGAAAATATTAAAGTGAGATTGACAACTCAAATATAGTTTTTAGTATTTACTTCGACTGTCACTATCTAGTGGTCGTAAGTGCGACTGCCGACAAGTGTTCTCGGGTTCGAATCCCGGGTGGGCTCAAAATCAGTTATTGGGTTTTCTGTTTAAAAGAGTCAGTAGCCACCCGGAGCCAGAAAGTAGGCGGTGTTGCACCCCTAGTAAGCACGTAAAGCGTTGATCGTGCGCCTGATCCCTCTCCAGTCGTTTCGGATTGCCGTCCTACATCTAACTTTGAGAGTGAGGGTATAACAGTGCATCTCTGTTCACGCACACATTGGCGTTGTCTCAGTTGGTAGCTCGTCTCCGTTGAGTTAAATCATTATTATTATTATTATACATACAGCATTATATAATAAATTTCAAAAAGAGTGCTAGTTTATTGTGATAGAGTATAAATTCATATTTACTATATTTCAAGTGGTTACAAATGACTCTTAATTCCTCATACAGGGTTTTTCATTTAGAGCGCTCGAACTTTGAAATGAAATAAAACAACCTATTTAAGTGATATTTTTATATCATTTTTTGTTTTTGAAAAATTACATACACATGCAATTTGTGTTCTGATTCCTTAAATGGTATGGTGAGTATAAGTATGTTTTCATAAGAACGTTTACAATCCAACAACACGCCCAAGCGTTGTACTCAAAATTATATGAAGTATGTGCCTGATATTGGGATCGATTTAGACTTATATAATATAATAGATAATAGAATTCAATTAAGTTAAATTAAAAACCTGATTATCTTAGTAGAGAAAGTCCTTATTTAAAAATGATTTACCAGCAATCCTAGGGTCTGTTTCTCCTTGAACAGGAGTGGGTCTATGCCACCATGGTTTTTGTATAATAGTGCGCAAAACACTTTCGTCCGGGCATTTCACGTTAAGAAAATTGTCAAATCTGCAAATAATATAAGGATAAAAATTTTCATAAAATAAAGTACATACTTATATGTTAAGTTACATTCTGTATAGGTTAAGTATCTTACTTAACATATTATGTGTACATGTTATGCACCTTATTTTACGTGGTAAAGCCACGAAGGGGCCTTCGTCGGCTCGAACGGGAAATGACCACGCTCTCATATAAAATAGCAGCTTAATTGTGCTGTGTTTCTTATGGTGAGTGTAAAAAACCGGAAACCCTTTTTTACTGTTACAGAAGGATTCCAATTTGGTCTTCAGGTATGACTACGCCTCTTGATTTTTGATCGCGATTAGATAGAGATAGAAGATGTTTGTAGGCCATAGTTTCCTCTTTTGGTTGGACTGTGCGCTCGTTTGTCACCTTTATAGAATAGGGACCTTATAGAGCAGACACCCGCTCTGCCAGGCACGCACACTGTCACACTGTGTATGTACATATCGAACCACATCCAAAGGTGGACCGCACTCGTGAATTGCAAGAACTATAATTGAACGGCTAATTAAGCTAGTTGACTGCGACATTTACAATGCGTGGCTAAAAAAATTTCTAGTGAAACTCACTATATCTTGCTATAAAATACATTTTTACGTTATACCTCTCGATTGTGACTTTTAATATATTAACTAGATCTTAACTGCTGACCGTACATAAATTATTTATGAAAGCTCCTTAAAAGCAACCACTACTACTCGGCAGGTGAGAAGTGAATAATTTGCTTTAAAACTGTTTTGTTTCGTGGCTCCAACAGGTGGTAGAATATTAAGTAAATGTCTTTTATATTACTGCTTTTAATGACATAATTGAATACTAAGTTGAGTTTAGCGAATCGATTAATATGTTTTATTGCAATACCAAAACCACAACAAAAATTAATTTATTTTTCTACTCCCTAAGCAATAAAAACAACATAGAGTTTAATCCTTTAGTGCTGCTTTTAAAGGCAAAATTAAAGACTCAAGTCGAGCGTAGCGAAGCAAATTATATAATATAGCTGGGAACAATACCAAAACCACAAATAAAAGTTTAATAATCAATAATAACCAAACAAGAAAAAGCATTATTAAAAAATTCTAACGAAATCTTATTGAAGAACACATATTTTACGAGATGATGTCTTGTCTCACGATGCTGCATCAAGCCACATAGTACATAAAGGCAATCAATTTGTTGGTTAAAATTCATATCCTGAAAATATCGAAAAATATTTTTAAAACACGAATTTTCTGTATTAACTTAATTTTATATTTATCTTATCAAATAATAAAAATTACCCGTGATACTGAATCGAAGAGTAAACACTCCCTAACAACACAATGCTCAAATATGTCACATAGTGCTGATTCATCTAGAAATGTCCACAGCAAATCTAATAGCGTGCACAGCTTTGGATGAGGTTGTGTCAATAATTTTGCTGAAAGATCGCGCTGCAATATTGAAATTTAAAAAAATACTATTTTAATATTAATGGAAAAGGCAATGTTTTGGATTAATATTATTTTTTAATAAAAATATAAATAACTTATTATTTATACGTGGTAGAGTCGCACTGCATCTTAATATAGCATCGCTAAAGTGGGTAGAACGACAGTGCCAGTTATTCCAAATATACATGCGCATCAGGTCTTTACGAAATGTATGAGTATAGGAGGAACTATTTAACGTGGTAGGTATAATAACGCCACAGCTATATTACTAAAGGTCCGCACGATCAGGGATGGAACAAACCCTCACAGAATACAAGCGTAAAATAGCAGCATAATTTAACTTTGTTTCATAATGGTGACTGTAGATTAGACCCTCTTTATTAGAAACGACGCATTCCATCTTAGTCCTCAGGTCTAAGAACGCATTTGCATTTTGATTCTTAATCGAAGATTACCATCCACTTACCATAAGGTTGGATTGTGTAATTTTGCCACCAGTTCTATAAAAACAGTTACTAAAATAACTATGTCTACATATGCCTGTTTATGATGCTTCTATATTTATTTCAAGACTAATTTTTATTTAGTGATTTATACTCATTGTAGCTATTTCTTTTTTCTTATTTTTCAGTCCGTAAAGGATCACTGTTGGATGTGGGCCTATCTCGTTGTGGAGATAATTTTCCGTAACTGTGAAGCTTGGGAGGCTGATTGAAGACCACAGTGCCAGACATCTTACTAAATGCACTAGGTACTACGACCTACAAAAATTGAAAATACGAAAAGAGAGAGATTTCGGGAGAGTCAAAGGTGTATAGGTATACCTACACACCTTTAAATCTCCCCCGTTGCCGAAATCTGAATACCTACACTACCTTGTATCTGGCTATTAGATTATCCTGGCGTTTCCTGTGTGATGGGATTTTTATGGCGCCACCACATTATTATAGGTGACTTTTTTAACTTCTGGAAAAAAATAGGGTACATACGAAGTAGAAGCCTATGTTACTGATATTTTACAAAATATAAAAACATTAATTTTGAATTAAATTTAACCACCCCAACCTGTAATTGTTCATGCTGGGTATCCTTCACTGCTGGCCGTATGAAGACGCTCAAAGTCGCTCAGCGAGCTATGGAGAAGGCTATGCTCGGGGTTTTCGTTATTCCGGAGACACTCTGGACTCCCGTTCTCTACACTCATTCTAAAGGCATTCCATCTTAGTCCTCACGGGTGACAACGCATCAGCATTTTGATTGGTCATCGATGATAGATGTAGCTGTCAATGGACCACAGCAACTACTTACCAGCAGGTGAACTGTGTGCTCGTTTGCCACGCCTATACTATAAAAAAATTTGTTATCGACATAGGGGAATGTCAAAAAACTACTGCTAAACATAGGCCTCCCCCATATATTGTCTTAGAGGAGGAGTTTTGCCATAGTTTTTACACCCTCGGATTTCTCCATATATAAATATCTCCCATGGTAGGCGGGTAGACAACTGCAGTTTTCAAAAAATTTAAAAAGTTATCAGAAAGATGCCGCCGTAGATCCACTGCTTTAGTTTCTCACTACCATCTCTTATCACACCCGTGGGATGATATCGTGTAGTGGATATCCTTACACCGCCACTACAAGTTCTTACGAGGCGAAAATTGCAGCAAATCATCTCAATTTGGTAATGGCTCATCTTCTGTAGACAGTTTTGTACGTACGCTGACCATCATTATTTAAATAAAGTGTCAAATACTTACAAAAGTTTCCTTCTTGTTAATTGTATAGAATTCAGTATGTTGATCAAAGTTTATGCTTCTGGACTTCAATCCTAATGATCCACGGAATCGCGGAAGCAGTTCACCTACCACGACGTACGATAACTTCAAACAACCGCCCAATTCTATCACCACAAGTCGAGCCAATGACATTAGAAATGCCTGTTAAAGAAACCACTATCATCTTGCAAATGATCTATTTTGGCCTTAAAGCTTAATATGACTGAAAACATTTTACCTTACCTTTTAGAATTCCGTAACTCCAAAAATATCACATAACATATTTTACGTAGTAAAGCCACGCTTCAACCGTACTATGGTTGAAACGCGGATGGGTCGGGTCGACCGGGGAAGAACCACACTCTCCCAGAATACCAGCGTAAAATAGCAGCTTAATGCTGCTGTGCTTCGTATAGTGAGTACGGAGAACCGGAGACCCTTTTTACTGGAAAGAGGCATTCCATCTTAGTCCTCAGGGGTGGCAATGCATCGGCGTTTTCATTCTTAATAAGGAATAAATGCAGATGTCTATAGGCCACAGCATCCACTTACCATTTGGTAAATTTAGTGCTCGTTTGTCACCCATATTCTATAAAAAGGTATATTTTTTTGTGATTATTTCCAACTGCAAAAGTTTTCCATTCAATCCGACTAACCTTTTTATTAGAGCAATGTTCGGGTCCTTACCTTTCTTAGAATTCACGGAATGTATGAACTTTCTACATACTTAATTAAATTTATACGGACCCCTAAACACTCACCCACATAAGACCCACTTGCACTAGTCTGTTACAGCATAAAGTCCAGTGCTGAACAGAGGCCTGCCCCTCGGATTTCCCCATATATAAATATCCCCCATTAGCCATAGTTGCCACGCTTGGCGAGCGGGTTGGCAACCTCAGATTTTCTTAGTCGTTAGAAGACGCTGCTCCTCATCTCCAGATTTGTTTCCCTCTGCAGCCTCTTACAACACTCACGGGATGATATGGGGCAATTGATATTCTTACACCGCCACTACACGGTAAACGGTGCACTTGTGTGCATTTTCTTAATTATTACAAAATGTATTGACAATTTATGAAGTCGGCAAATAACGTTTGTGTTTTAATAACTATAATATGAAATATCTTAATCTAAAAACTACAGAAGAAAATCATTTTTATTCAATATAGGTTACAAGAACACTTATAGAAAATTATTTAAGCTTTACTAAGACACGTGAGGGTAATGAGGCCATCTTAAGCTTTGCCGCCCTATAAAACCAAAACTAGGATGAGGACGGAGCCAAAAACACAAAGTCGTATACTATAACTAATGTATTAAGAAAATAAAACAAACTAGCTTTGCAATATCTATGAACACTTCGCAAAACCAACTTAAAAAAACTAACTACACTACACCATACTAAAATCGACTAAAAAATTTACTATAATGTTAACTGTCAAAATGGCGTCGATAAAGCAGCGCCTTTTTGACCCTATATTGTTTGATTGACCGATGAAGAGCTACCTTATCACAAAGCCATCTATGCAAACGAGGCTGTAATTTTTGAGTTACTTATAACTATATAAAATTATACAAATATAAATTATCTATATAAAATTACTAATCCGTTGGGCTAAGTCGGTCACTCTGGTTTTACTGCGGATATCCTCATTTCTGAGTCTATCACGCAGAGAAACTCCGAGCATAGCCCTCTCCATAGCTCGCTGAGCGACCTTGAGCGTCCTCATACGGCCAGCAGTGAAGGACCACGTCTCTGATCCGTAAGTCATCACTGGCAACACGCACTGGTTCTACACTTTAGTTTTCAGAGATTGAGGTATACCTGACGAGAAGATGTGTCGTAATTTCCCGAACGCCGAGTTGAATCCGTCGATTGACCTCTCGGTCGAAGTTGAACTTACCTAGTCGGACTATTTGTCCCAGGTAAACGTACTCGTCAACAACTTCGAGCTTAGTGCTCCCAACAACTAACGGCATAGGTGTGACATGGACATTAAACATGATCTTTGTTTTGTCCATGTTCATCTTATCCGTTGGGAGGCACTATTGAGGTCATTGAGCATAGTGCTTAAGTCCTCCAGCGATTGTGCCATAAGGACTATATCGCCGGCAAATCGAAAGTGAGTGATGTACTCGCCATTGATGTTAATACCGTATCCTTTCCAGTCCAGTAGCTTGAAAACGTCTTCCAAAGCAGTGGTGAAGAGTTTCGGGGATATAACGTCACCCTGTCTTACACCTCTCTGCAGTTGGATAGGTTTCGAGCTCTGGTTCTGTACTCGGATAGCCATCGTAGCCCTTACTGTACAAATACTTCAGCACTTCGATATACCGACAGTCAACTTGGCACCGCTGAAGGTACTGCAGCACCGCCCAAATTTCGACGGAATTAAAGGCTTTCTCATAGACCACATACGCCAGGCAAAGTGGCAAATTGTACTCTTCAGTCTTCTGTACAATCTGCCGCAGGGTATGTATGTGGTCTATGGTACTGAAGCCTTTTCGGAAACCGGCTTGTTCGGGAGGCTGGAAGTCGTCGAGTCTGCGTGTGAGACGATTCGAAGAACCGATAACCGATGGGGAAGAAAGGTTCTCGAGTGGCAGCCTCGTACCGGTAGGCGTAGTGTAGGGCGACCCCCCACTAGATGGAGTGACAACCTGGTAAGATATGCAGGAAGTCGATGGATGCAGGTGGCTCAGGACCGTGCTTTGTGGCATTACTTGGGGGAGGCCTATGTTCAGCAGTGGACTTGTGAAGGGCTGTAATGATGATGATGATGATATAAAATTATACAAATAAAATTATAAACTATATAAACATAAGAAGTGACCATATTAACAGGGTGACCGTATTACTCTCACGTGCCATAGTGGTTCGAAAATAAAACCTATGTCCTTGGAAGAACCAGCAAGAAACCCAGCGGGATTTTTTTTAAATTTCGTTTATCAAATAGTACTACTTATACATACTTTTCTCGACATCTTCTTAACTTCAGGACTCTGAACATCAAGAACGTTAGTTGGAGATGCTCGGGAACTATAAACAGAGTTTGAACTATCGATACGCACTGCCACCTCTTCCTCTGCCACTTTTGACGACTCTGATTTGGCCTTGAATGAGATTTGAAACTTTCCTGTTATTTGGTTAAATGTTTTTCATGCAATCATTTTCTTACAGCCCATAAAAACTCCGCCTCTTAACATAGGCCACCTTCATAGATTGCAACATAGAGAATTGCTGCGTAGAGAATTGCTACGTAGAGAATTGCTACGTAGAGAATTGCTACGTAGAGAATTGCTACGTAGAGAATTGCTACGTAAAGAATTGCTACGTAGAGAATTGCTACGTAGAGAATCCCCACTACCCCACATCGTCTCGATAGAGATTGGCAGCACCGTCTTCCTAATAAAAACCAAAAAAAAAATATCACTGTTGACTACCCGCTTGGCAAGCGTTTCAGCTGTAAAAATATACCTTTTGAAGAAATCTATGGGGTGGCCTTTACTTAGCAGTGGACTTTTGAGGGCCTGTAATTAATGAATGATTATTAGACAAATACTTCGAAAGACTTTTTTATTTTAACACGTCATAAGTCAAACTAAAGCGATAATGTTGGTATTGTGCATAGACTTATTATACTACTGCGTATTCTGTATGTCGGAATAATGGTATAATATTTTACTTAGTTACATTTACATTATTCCTATATGACTAAGTGTTATTATAATTTGAAAATGAGAACGTCTTCTTTATCACAACTCTCAAGAGTTTTACTCGTGAAATGATATTCAAAACATGCAACGATGCTGTTTTATAAGATATTCAAAATAAGGTGCAATAAATAAAGCTATTTAGATATTTTATGATGATTTAGGCGCTACTTCTTCAGCTTCTAGGGTAATACTAATATCATAAGTGGTTCCAAACAAATCAACACTGGTTCCGTGTCAGTTTAGAGTATTTAACAGATGGCGCTGATTTATTCTACGCTTAAACCATGAAAAAAATTTGTTCGCACGATAACATCGTGTTACGAGAACTGGTCATGTGACATCCGGTATTATTAATTTCATAATTTTATAAAAGTTCTCGCCTTATTTGAATATTGAAACCGATGTGTGATGAACCTATTAGGTGCTTGACACTAAGATGGTATTACGTTCACTAATCCTATTGCCGAACGGAAACGATTTAACTCATGGAAGGCCTTTGCCCAGCATTGGACTAATGAACGGTCTCTTATATATTCTCTCTTGTATATTTGACATAGTTGACACTTTTGGCAGGCCGTTTTAGTTTGAAACTGCATTTTTTTATTATTGTTGACTTGTTATCGGAAAGATGCTGTTTCCAATCACCTGCTTTCATATTACTCTATCACCTCTTATACGTAATATGTATAGGGCACTTTGTTTTCTTACGCGGTCACTACATAACATAACTGTAACATATTCAAAATGTTACAATAATGCTATACAATAATGCGCAAACGAAACACTCATCCGGCAAACTATGTACTCCGATCATATGAAATGAAATTACTCACGGCTAATCAACTCCTTCTATTCGTTGAAGACATAGGGCTTAGCAGTGAACTATAGCCATAGCAGCGATCACAATAGATCTTTTAGGTCGCAGTGATACCGGTCTCTTTCCCTAGACCTGCATAGCTACTCACACATAATAAAAAAACATATCCATATCTATTATGATATATTTAAAATTATAACATTAACAGACCTTGCTAGATTTTGCAACAATTCCAGGTTTAAAATCGGACAGGTGAGCAAGTTCATCAATGATAGCATCAAGGGATTTGAACAGAAACGTCGCTCGAGCACACTCTTTAGTAGGAGGCGCTTGCAATGGAGCATAACCCTCCACAGGAAAACTGTTAAATAATCAATTTCTAATAACAAAACTTTTTTTAAATATAATGGTGGCAGGTGACAAACGAGCACACAGTCCACCTGATGTTTAGTGGATGCTGTGGCCCATAGACATCTTCATTTATCCTCAATTAAGAATCGAAATACAGATGCGTTGTTATTCTTGAGGACTGAGGCGGAATGCCTCGTTTCACAATACGAAGCACAGCATCATTAATTTGCGATTTTACGACATAATTATTCAATTATTCTGTGACAGCATGGTCATACTTCAGTCGAGCCGACCCTTTCGTGCTGCAATCACAATATAGCTGCACCATGGCTCTACGGCTTTATCACATGAAAACTTCCAGTGCGAACGATTATAATATATGTATATACGAGGGGTGATCCAAAAGTAATGATAATCGGTTACTTCAGGTCCACATAAAAATCCAAAAAAAATATTTTTTGCTTGCTTGTATACTCACTACGTCAGCCTAAAAAAATCATATAAATAGATCACGATTTCCGGGAGATACATTCATTTGAATACGAACTGTCAAAGAGATAACATCAACATGGAGAAAAACGAAATTAGAGCTGTCATTAAATACCTCTGTTTGAAAAAAATGTCTTCAAAAGACATACACAGTGACTTAGTGGAAACATTGGGAGACTCTGCTCCTCCATATTCTACAGTTGCACGCTGGGCCAAGGAGTTTAAACTGGGCAGAACATCCACTGTCGATGAACATCACGAAGGACGCCCATCCACGTCCCTCTATGAAGACAACGTGAAAAAAGTCGAAGATGTTGTGTTGGCAGATCAAAGAGTGACCATCAGGCATGTAGCTGAGGTCACAGGGATCTCATATGGCAGCGGTCAAAGAATTCTTGCGAACGAGTTGCATATGAAAAAGGTCTCTACGCGTTGGGTACCCAGAATGTTAACCGACGAGCAAAAGAAAAATCGAGTTGACATTTCGAGGGTCAATCTCGAAAAGTTCCAAGCAGATCAAGAAAATTTTCGCCAGATCTAGCTCCTAGTGACTTCTACCTCTTTCCTCTGCTCAAGGAACGCCTCCCAGGCAAGAAATTCGAAGATGATAGCGAAGTAATGGCCGCTGTTGAAGCGTTTTGGGAGGGTCGAGACAAAGAATTTTTTTCAAAGGGAATCCTGGGTTTAGAAAAAAGATGACTTAAATGTATTGATTTGTTAGGAGACTATGTAGAAAAATAAATTATTATTTTAACTTTAATTACCGTGTTTTATTTTCATTATCATTACTTTTGGATCACCCCTCGTATTATCTAACATGATTTTCAAATCGAGCTGTCAATGCTAGAAAGAGATTGGTTCATAATACAATTCTTTTAGAATACATTTCCGTTAGAAAATTTAAGTAACGCGACAAAGTGACTGACGAAGACTACTTGTTTTTTTAACCGACCTCAAAAAGGTGGAGGTACTTAATTAGACTCTATTTCATTTATGTGTTACCTCAACACTTTTTCTTGGTAAACCGATTTTGGTGATTCTTTTTTTATTTGAAGCTAGTGTTTGTTTTTTTGGTCCCATACAAATATAATCAAGATCTGACCAATGGTTTTTGAGTTATTCTTTGTAATGCATATTTTACTTCGACTACATTGATAATGTTCTCATTTTATTTATATTGAAATCGGTTGTACACCAATTTTAATTTTACCACTTGTTCTAATAAAACTGAAGTGGCATACGAAGTTACACTTCACCTGATTGTAAGTGGTTACTGCAGTCCATAATCACCAGGAGCTGCTAATAAAAAAGTTACATTTGCGTTGTCACCTCTGAGGACTAAGACGAAATGCCTCACAACCTCTAGTTATACTTGCTCCTGGCATGGCAGTAGAAATAGGTAACGTAGGTAAAAAAACTGACTGACTGACTCAAGCGTACTCCTAGGTGGTAAATGGTCGCACCATCTATTTGTACACTGTATATTTTAAAACTGTGTTAAATCTCAGAGTCACAGCGGACGGACGGAACTTTTTTTATAGAATATGGGTGACAAACGAGCACATAGTCCACATGATGGTAAGTGGATGCTGTGGCCCATAGATATCTACATTTATCCTCAGATTAAAAATCAAAAGCCAGAAGCGTTGTCACCCCTGAGGACTAAGATGTAATGCCTCGTTTCCAGTAAAAACATGTCTCTAGATCTTTACAGGCCATACAAAACATAGCCAGTATTTAGCTGGTATTTTACGCTGGTATTATGTGAGAGCGCGGTCCTTCCCCGGTCGAGCCGATCCATTCGTGCTCCAACTATAATATAGCTGCAGCATGGCTCTAACACGTATAAAAAATTAAAATACATTTTAACAAAACATAACAAGACATTTAATCCGTAATATTAAGTTTTAGATATATAGTTGTACACAAAATTTTACGAAAAAGTCTAAATAAATTAAGCTCCATTTTGATTTGTTTTTAAGGTCGATACGTGGATAATTTAAAAGCTCATGTCGCCTACTCCGTTCAACAATATCATTATTTGTAAATAAGAAAACTTACATAAATGGGACATGCCCGAAGTTAGCGTATAGGTGCTCTTGCATAGCCAACGAAACTGCTGGAAAATACGCAATCCCAGTTCCATGGACGACAGAATCAAACGCTATACCCATCGATTCGCCGTTTCTAAATAAAACAATACACTTATTGTACCATGTTATAATAGTAAGTTTTCGTTATATATCTGATGACCTACGACTAACTAATAAAAGCCGAAGTGAGTGACTCCACCCAAGTTTAACCGGCTACAACGGTAACCGGCAACGGTATTCGATTTGTCGTAATAATTTACAAGCGATCCGCCTCGGCTTTTGCTTTGCTTTGGTGGAGTCAATTAGATTTTTTAAAGTCATCATAAATGACCATATATTTATAAATTTTTCCATGTCTCAAAAATTATCCAACTTTCTAGGATAAAATATAGCTTAAATCACTTTGTACATAGCTCTCTATCAGTTCGTGAAGTTTCATCACAATCGCCGCCATTCCGAAGATGGACCAGACTAGTACCTACCGGATAGACAGACAAAATTTTGTAAATGATTATTCATGTCCTGATGAAAAAAAAATATATATATATATATATATATATATATGTGTGTGTGTGTGTGTGTGTGTGTGTGTGTGTGTGTGTGTGTGGCGTGCGTGCGTGCGTGCGTGCTTACTGTCGCTAGATAGATGCTTTCATACTTATCACACACAAAAGAAGACACAAAAATCAGTAATTTTAAATATTATTCGGATTTTACTATACCTAGTTCCTAGTGTTGGCCGTGAATAAATCGGTTACATCTAAGTTTAACAAACCTTAATCAGCTACACCTTGTCGTAGCCGGCTAAATCTAAATGTAACCACACTTCGAATTTTAGCCGTGATAAATCGATCTTAAATATACAGATATCCGTAAAATACGCAATCCAAGTACTAGAGTTATAAGGCTTATCATTCGTAGCCTCTCAGTTAGGTAGAGCCCCATATTTCACAATAGCCTACAATCGTACTCATAATGATGACGATAATATTTTCTTATAAAGGAAATTCAAGAAATTTCGCTACCATTCGTTCTTGTTGAAGCGATATCGTAGCTTTCTTGCGTTCAGAAGCGCTTTGTAAAGACCAATTTTAAATAAAAATGTTTTAGCTTTGACTCCATATCTTAGAATTAACAGTTACTGAATATTAAAATATATTTGCCGTGGGGTGGTTACTTAAGAAAACCCATCGACCCATCTTTTTTATAGTCTATGGGTGGCAAACAAGCACACAGTTCAGCTGAAGGTAAGTGGTTGCCGTGGCCCATAGACATATATCTATCCTCGATAACGAATCAAAATACACATGGGTTGTCACCCGTGAGTACTATGATGGAATATCGCATTTCCATTAAAAATGTTCTCCGGTTCTATACGCCTACCAAACGAAACACCAACCAACGCTTAGCTTAACGCTGCTATTTCACGGTGGTATTCTGTGAGAGCGTGGTCTTTCCCCGTTCGAGCCTACCCATTCGTGCTACAACTATGCTATAATATATATATATATATATATATATATAATAGATGTATTATAACTTTTTGACTTTATTGGTAGGACTAGATTAACACCTATTCTGCCCTCCTGTCCGGTGAGCAATTTGGCGAATGGCTCTGGGGGAGAGCGCAGATCGTGTTGATCCCCAGGGCAAGTCTGAAGAGTTCTTCCTTCACGTGCTTGCCGCCTGTTATTTGGTCTGGTTCAATAGAAAATAGACAGAACAGAAACACTCAGACGATCCTCTTCTTATTTTCTTTTATCCTACCCCCTTTTTTCCTATCCTAACCCAATCCAAGGTGTCAAGCGTAACGTACCGGTGGCTACGTGGCTGGAGGGAGTCCATCGCAAACGGTGCCTACCCGAGGATCAGGGCGATTCGGGTAGTATTTTAGCCCTTCCCTCGGCATTCGTGGCTCTACCGGGGTTGACCGAATATTTCCCTAGCTAATAGTTGGGCCAAAGCGGGCGAAAATCGACATTTTACGAAGAATAACAAAAAATCTCCTCTAATGGAACTATCTGCAAGTTTGGAAGTGGCTCTTTTAGCCTCACTAATACCCTGCAACACTACGCCCCAACCTGGGACGAGCTGTGAAGTGGAGGGCACGTCTGCAGCCCAACCACAATCGGAAAAGAACCAGGGAGGGGAAAAGAAAAAGTTCGCTAGGCCTTATAAGCTTAGTGGGGCAACAAGGAAGAGGTACCGTAGGCTGATAGCAGGATGAGATAGAGCCGATAGAGCCCTTTTTTGCCAGATGCCCTGGGACAAAATTCCTCTGTCCAAACCTCCCTCAGTTCCGAAGGCGAAAATACGTTGTCGATCTGAGGAAGTGTTCCCCAAAGACCAGCCCATGAAGTCTGTGAAGCTGGCAACGGGGGTGAAGAAGCTCAGCTTCAGTGCCGTAGCTGGCTC